ATTATATTATAGAGAAGGCTACTAAGCTTAAGTTCTAATAGCTCTTAGTAATACTAGGTAGCCTATATAACTATATTCTCTATATATTCCTTATAGGAAGTCCCTTTAGAATAGAATCTCTAGGTATAAGGCATCTCTGATATCTATAATATAAATTAATTTCTAGTAATATATAAATCATCCTCCTAGGTATTATCTACCTATAATTTAATTTAGTAAGAGGTATAGTACCTCTTTTTTTAGTTTAAAAGATAGGGCTATTATTAGTATAAGCTTTTACTTTTTTTTATCCTCTAGTAAGACCTATAGCTCTAGGTATTCTACTATAGTATTATACTATTTATACTCTATAAGATTATTTAGAATTTTAAAATATCTTATCTCTACTACCTCCTATACTTCTAGTATATTAAGTAAAGTTCTTTTAGTAATATTATCTAGTCCTTCTTCTATAAGATTAGAGTATTAGCTAATTATATCTAGTACTATTACTTTACTATCTTTTTAATAATAGATCTTTAAGTTATAACTTTAGAATTCTTTTACCTACTAGGTAAGCTACTTTAAATACTTAGTTATATTTATAAGATATTAAAGACTCTTATAATTAGTTACTACTATTATTATCTTTCTATTATTAATATAGTAGTCCTATCTCTAAAGAACTTCTTTTATTATAAGTAGCTCCTTCTCCTATATTAGATAGTTCCTTTCTATACTACTAAGCTTCCTTCTATTAAATATAATTAGATAAAGTTTATAATTCTTATCTTCCTATATTAAAACTATTCCTACTACCTATTCTAAGGTATTAGTCTTAATTTAATAAGATTAATTAGGGTCTATAATTATTAGTACTAATATAGTGATTATTAATTCTTTTAAGTTAGTAAAGGTATCTTAGCATCTTACTATCTAGGTAATTAAATAGAATTTCTTTTTCTAAAGGTCTTTATTTAACTTCTTTAGTAGGTTATAGAGGGTAGCTATAACCTATATAAATCTTAGTATAAACTAGTAATAATATATTATAAGTCTAAGAAATTATTATACTTTATAGATATTTTTTAGTTTTAATTATTAAATAATAGCTTCTATCTTAGCTAGTATTAGCTTTATAATTCCTCCTCTAATAATATATCTATAGAATTTAATTTCTTATTAACTAAATTTATACTTTAAGGCTTTTATAAATAGCTAGTTCCTCTATAATTAGATAAGAACTTCTTATATATATTATTTATATTCTTCTTTACTCACTAAGAATATTAAGATATTATTAAGATATACTACTATATATAGGAGATCTTATAATTAATTATTTATATATATCTAGAATATTACAGGTGCATTATAGAGTCTAAATAGTATTATAAGAAACTTATATTTTCTAAAGGAGGTATTAAATACTATCTTAGTAATTAAGTTATCTACTATCTATGATTACTAGTATTTTAAGAGAAGATTAATTTTTAATAGGATCTTTACCTAACTAACTTAGTTAATTAACTCCTAAATTCTTAGGAGTAGGTAAGTATTCTTAATAATAACTTTATTAAGTACTTAATAATCTATATATATTTATTATTTTCCTTCTAGCTTTAAGACTAATACTACTAGTAAATCCTACTAGCTTACTAAGGCCTAGATTACTTTCTTTTATAATAGTTCTTTTACTTAGTAGTAGGTTTTCTTAAACTTCTCTAGTAATTAGAGGTAAGTATTTATATTAGTTAATTTAATATTACTAATATTAATAATATAGTCTACCCCTTAGGTAGGTGGCATTCCTAGATTAAGTTCTTCTTAGAATATATTCTTAAAGTCTTTTATTTATTTACTATAACTTATAGTTATTAATTCCTTTTTACTAGTTTAGAGGAGGTATAACTATATTATTAACTTCTCTTTTTATAAGGCCTACTTTAGTTATTTTATAGTCACTTATTATACTAAGTTATCTTTATAATATTTAATCTCATATTAGGGGTTAATAAGGTAGGTAAAATATATTCTTCTCTTATTTTAAAGGATTATCTAGCCTAATTACTAGTTAATCTATAGATTAGTAACTTTTAGCTAGTTATAACCTAAGATTATCTTATACTTATTAATATCTAGGATATATAACTTAGTAAGACTAGTTTATTATCTAATTTATATTAATATCCTTACTTATTAGTAGGTATTTATTATAGCTTTATTTAGTAGTTATATAACTAAGGATATTTTTCTTTTACTATAGAGAGGCTTTATTATGCTAAGGTAACTAATAGTTATTTATAATATAAATAAGTAACTAACTCTATAATTAATAAGGGCCTTAATCTAAATTATTTATTCTTTATTTTATATTTTTATTATATAATATATAGAGTTAATACCTATTATATTTAGGTATACCTTAGTAATTCTTTATAATAGTTAAAGATTCCTTCTCTTAGGTAGTTCTTTCTTCCTATCTTTAAAGAGATTATATTATATATCTTAATAGTTAGAGGCTTTCTTTATTTAATTAATAAGTACCTCTAGATTTATTAATATTTCTTATTTTTTATTATTTTTAAGGGGCATAGTTAGAGATATCTAATTTTATTATATATAAAATATATTTTATTCTAGTAATACTATAATTTCTACTTTAGTAAATCCTTATTTAATTATAAGAAGTTTCTCCTTAGCTAGGAAGAGCTAGTAATTATACTTAGATCTATTAGATCTCTATTATACTAATTAAATTATAGTTTTAATTATAGGTTACCTCTAAGTTATTAAATAGTAGCTAAGCTATTCTTATAAAGAGAGAAGTATTTAACTATTTTATTATATATTTATAATTATATTTAGTCCTCTATCTATCTTTTCCTAAGCTCTAGTTAACTCCTAATAATAAATTTTTAAATAAGAGAAGCTTTATATACTAAGGGAGAGATATATACTATAGCTTTATTTAAGATAGTAGTATATAGCTATATAGGTTATAAACCTTAGGTAAGGCTTTTATATTTCTTTTATCTTTTATTATTTATATTATATTCCTTAAAGTTCTTTAGTAGCTATATATAAAAGATTTCTATATTAATAATTACTAATATAGAATTAATCTATAATTAGGTTTTATCTACTTTCTATTTTTTATAAATATATCCTGTAAGTTTCTACTTAATAATAATAAGATATTCTAGATTAGAGAGAACTCTTCTTATTATTAATAAGATATCTCTAAAATATTCCTTAACTCTTTTTTATTATTCTTAGATAGTATTCTTTATATATATATCTTTATACTCTAGGATAGGAGTAAGGTTTAAGACCTTAAAGATAAATAATAATTTATAATAATAATTTATCTTTTATAATTTAAGAGGTAGTACTTATTTATTATATTACTTTTAGTAAATACTCTAGAAGAGTATATTAATATTAGTAAGTAGTACTTCTTAGATTATTATCTTACATAATCTAGTAAAGGCTTATCTTATATCCTTTAGTAGATCCTTAGTAGAATTATTTATTATAGATAGCTAGTTATTACTAGTAGTTCTAGTAGGGAGGTTTAAGGATATTATCTTATAAGGATTATTTTCTATTAGAATTTATTTTAGTAACTAAGTAATACTTCTCTAGCCTAGAGTTACTATATCTTATTTTATTTTTATTTTTTCTAGTAGGGCTTAGTAAAGAGTTCTCCTATAGTAAAAACTCTTTACTAAGTATAACTACTCTACTATCTTTTAGCTTAAATTTAGTAGTTACTTATAGGGAAGAGTAGTAGGTATTTACTAAGATAAATATAAATTTAGTAGAGTAAGAGTATTTAATTTCTTACTATCTATAACTTTAGATATACTACTAGATAGTATTACTAAGAGTAAAGAGAGATAGGCTAGGCTAATACCTCTTTACTTACCTAAAGTAAGGTCTTATATTTATATCTAGCTACTAGCTATCTATCTAAAAGATAAGTCATAGATATTATAGAGATTTCTTAGGTCAACCTTGGTAACCTAAGGTCAACCTTAATAATCATTGGTCTACTCATGATATTCATTCACTGATATCACATAAGAGTCTTATTATTTATATTCTTTAGATTAAAGATAGAGATACTAATCCTCTATCCTCTACTTATATTTTTATCTTAGTCTTATAAGATACTTAGGGTTCCTTATTAAACCCTCTTTTCTTTTTTCTATAAGGACTTAATAGGCCCTATCTCTATAGTCTTTTTTTTATAGATTATTTCTAGAGATCCTAAGGATTCTTTATATAGTTTATTAATTTCTACTTTATAGGAGGTATCCTTTTAATCCTATAATCCTTTAGGGGCTTATAAGCATACTTTACTAGCTATTATCTTTTCTAATAGACTAGTTATAATAGATTAAGTATTAAAATTATAAGAACACTAGGTTTTATATATAGAATATAACTAGTATAAAAGAATAGATACTATATAGCTTAGATTTTAAGAATTTAGATAATTAAGTAGATTACTACTAGGTTAGGATTCTTCCTCTATAAGAGAGAATTTACCTAACCCACTGCTTAGTAAGGGCTGACTAAGAGATACCCTTGCGTAGGCAAGATAGATATCTTCACCATACTATTAGGAGGCCTTACAGAAGTCAGCTCCCATATAAATTACTATACAGTCAGACTTACCTTAGTTTTACAGCTAAGCTTACTAGCATGCCCTTAACTTTTGCACCACACCTCTGTAGTATATACTCATATTATAAGGATACTACTAAGCTTACTAGCATAGCACAGAAACTTATGGTGCACACCTCCATACTAAGGGGGTAGTATTATAGGTAGGCCCACCCTACCCTACTATTAGTCAGCACCTGCCTGTCAAGACCTTTACTGAGCTCACCTACATGAGCATCACACACCTGGCACCTAGATAGAAATCCAAGCATCTCATTCAGGGATATTCTATACCTATGACACATGTCAATGAATTGTATTAACAGATCTCGCAAGATTCACGAACTTCAAGAAGCCCCAACACACACAAAATATCCTAGCCACAGATGGGCACATTCCGATCCCACGTCCGGATTCCAGGTATTGAATTGGGTGGCGGTGATGCTATTTGCCTGCTCAATCGACCAGCAGCTGTCACCACTGGCAACTTGGTAGTATTTGGTGCAAGTGGAGATAGTCCCTGGCATTGGTTGGACTGTGCTGGTTGCCACGCAGTACCAGTACCCCACGTCAAGATAGGAACAAGTCGCTCCAACGGCAGGGTTCCAGGAGATGAACTCGCTGGTTGTCAGATAGGAATATTTCTTGGTCACAATTGACCAGCAGCTATCGCCTGATTGCACTTGATAGTATGTGACACAGTCGGAGATGATGCCTGTCTGAGTGGGCGATGGGCCGGTATGGGTTGCACTGGTGGTAGTGGTAGCGATTGTGGTGCTGGTCGTGGTAGTGGTAGTGGTCAGGCCAGGGACTCCAACGCAGACGTAATATCCTGCCTGAAGGCCCGAGCAGTCGGTTTTGACCGCACTGAATGGAGGGAGATTCATATGATTAGCAAACACTTTCCCATGACTTATGGCAGTACTTGAAAGCGCAGACGTACGGATTCCATTGATAGAATTGGTCGATTGTGAAGTTTCCAAATGACGTGACAATATTGTAACAGATATCACCTGCCTGGACCTTATAAAAAGCGTCACAGGTAGAAATCAAACCACTTTGCGTAGGAGATGGGGCTCCACTAGTTGAAGTGGTAGTTGTGGTAGTCGGAGATGTCGATGTTGTCGTAGGCACCGTGGTGGTCGAGGTAGTGGTGGTGGTTGGCACTGATGGCGACTCAACACAATAGCTCCATCCTACTGTCAAGACACAATTGGTGGATGAAAGAGATGGGTTCTGAAAAACGAACCCCAGGGTCCAGCAGTTAGGATCTCATGGACGATTAGATGACACACTGTTAATGGAGAACTCACCCAGAATGTCAACTGGGCAGTGGTGATTCCAAAGTAGTTCTCCAGATTCACGCAGGTGTCACTGGAAGTAATCGAGTTAGCCCAGTAGGAGCAATCCTTGACTACATTTGGGTCTGTCGTTCCCGTAGGAGAATCGCCGTTGGTGAATCGTTTTTGAATGGCAGAAGCACGCGCTGTCCCAGTGATAAGGGACGTGAGGAGGAGGGGAGTCAATATCATGATGCTAGTCAGTAGTCAAGGTCTTTTTCTTTCTTACTCCTTGGTTCGTACAAGAAGAATGCTTGTGTAGGCACATCTGACCATTATATGTCGGAAAGGGGTAGGCCGTGGCGTCCCTGGTTGCCCACGGGGCCATGATACGGGCTGTTTTCTGGATAATTAAATTTGTCTTGATGCATGTACTGCTATTAGGAAATTTGGAAACTGTTCAACGGAGATATGACTCGAAGGATCACTCCGTGCTATGGTCCAAACTGATGGCAAACCGGCACGATAGTGACGTTACATCTTTTAAACTGGAGAGGAATCAGCTGGATGGAATTTTTTGTGTTGCACACCCATTTTCAGGCCACCCAAGTAAGACTTTTGCACCGTTCTAGCGGACGAGGTAAGCTTTTTGATGGAGCTAAGTGTTTCCTGCAGAGGTCTTGTAATAATGCTAGCTGGATTCTAACAGACCATAAGGCCAAAAGACTAACATTACCATGAGTTACCTAGTAACTCATGAATCCAGACCTATATAGTAGCGCACTGGATAGCTAAGGCTCTCTGATCCTTACAGATCTTATGTAGGGAATCTTATTTTTTTTTCCATTTTCTGAAATTTCTGGGGGGAAAACAACATTATCTTTTTAGAAGAAATTTTTATACTAGTAAAATATCTCCCCCTAGTTCTTACTACCTATATATTTTACTAATAAAAAATAAAATCATCCCTAACTTAAAAGATATTAAATAATTCTTTATATAAATTTATATAGGAGCCTACTCCTTTTAATTTATAATATCAATAAATAGCTATAAATTTAGCTAATTTTTTTAATTATTACTTAAAAAATAAGTTTCCTATAGTACTATTAGTAAGTAATAATAAATAGTAATGGATAGTAGAATTTTAATAGGTTAAAGATATATATTGTAATATTATTATATAAAATTTACTAGTATTTCGTAATATATATATATATAGCTTTCTTAGGTAATAAGGTATCTACTAGCTATAGATTCTAATTTATCTATCTTTATAGGGTAATAGAATTTAAAGGCTCTAATTAGCTAAAAAAGTCTTAATACTCCTACTAGATCTAGGGGGTTTAACCCCTAGAAATACAAAATAAATATTAGAAAATTCTATAATAAAAGAAAAAGATTTTCATTTCAACTTTTTAAGGACCCTAGTCTTATGCATTTGATATCACACCTACTGCAAAACTCCACTGGCAAGCTAACCATGCAGAAATTGCTAGTGCTGACTGCTCACTCTGGAGGGAGATGATCAGTGTCATTATTCCCTCACAGAGATGAGCAAGACAAGCTTAGACGACCAGCAATGGTGATACTAATGAGCTTTCTTCGGAGGAATGTATCCTCGCTAAGTCCGGCTGCCACTTGTGCTGTGCCGAATTACAGATTAACGCAGGCAAAATGAACTTGAGTCAGAGAAGGGCTCTTTTCCCTCGGATAATGCTGTATTTGACCGAGGGTCCTATGTTGTTCGGGAAGAAGCCAGTCCCATGAGATCCAATATTCCCATCATGACCTTGAGCTAGATGCTAAAGAAAGACAAAGAATACCCGTGTTTCATTCAGGATACACCTGTAGACCATGCCTCCTTTCATTAATCTTTCGCTCCCCTTCGTATTCCTCTTCCACCTGGTCCCCAGCTCAACTGACCTTCCAAATCCTTGCAATTCCACTGCTGCGACTGTTCAGCCTTAAGTCACCTCTAGTATTCAAACGTCTTGTACGTAACCGTGCCATCCTGTTCTCTCGTCCTGATCTTATCCGGCGGGGCTTGGCCACATATTCGCTTCGTCCAGTTGCAGCCAGAGTAATACATCGCTTGATTGACGAAGCGCGACTTAGCCCACAGCTTCAATACTGCAAAACGAGAATCAACAGACAGGACTAACCAACTGAAAACATGGCGATTGTCTCTGTGGGTTTTTATGTCAACACACTGCTCGCTTTTCCAATGGGGATAGGCGCAAAATACCTGCGTTGGTCACCGTGACCTCCGGCTGTTGGATAGCAAGACTCTGTATCAGATCGAAGCCATACACGGGTTCGCCATCCAAATCTACGTCAACTGAGAGGTATATCACGGTTAGCGCAGTGCATGAGAGCCCCTTTGCGATGTGGACGCCCTTACCTGCTGCACCGTCGCCAAATATCGATTCGGTATGAGTCAACTCGTGGAGGATAGTCGTAGCAGCGGCACGGTCAGCAACATAGTCGATCGTGAAGCGATTTAAATACGCTGCCGTGTTATCTAAGTCGGCGAGTCTACCGTATTTTCCCTGAGCGTTTACATAGTTCTCCCAGCTCTGTTCGCAGATGATGATTTCATCCTGATTCGACTCAACATTGAAAAAGGAGTAGGCCAGGTTGTCGGCCCCTTCCGAGCACAATCGCTGCGTCGGATCCACGTCAAGAGTCCTCTTTGGTGTCCATCGTGTGTCGATATAAACCCCTGGATCATCAGTTTGGATCTTTCTGATGACGGCACTGAACATTGCACTATCGTGCGAGTAACTTGACTTACGTATGTTTGCGTCACTCAGCTTTTCAGAGTATTCGAAAAAGTCATCATTGCAGCTCCAATACGGAGCCCAGTCTGTTTGCAACGTTTTGGAGATGAGGTTCGGTCTAGCTAGAAACAGAAAACTCATGTAAGAACAGGAATGGTTGGTATCTCTTTCTGCCCTACCCTTCTTCATTGATTGGAGGGCGGGAGTGGCTTGTCACTGACATATAACTGTTTGCATATTGTTGGAGGCATCCGCGAATGTTTGTGTAGCCTCAATCACTTCGCTGTTGAGTCTGATGGCTCCAAAGAAGACCTGCCAGGTGGTGAGCATGGTGTAGATGGTGTCATAAAGGTTACCCCAATCTTTGGGTTGCTGCTGTGAGTCTATGACACTTTTGAGCTTTGAGAGGCTGGTAACAGCTTTAGTTATCTAAATTGGTCCTTTATTGTCAGCAAACATTCCAGATCTTAACAGAGCAGTGGCAATGGTCTCGCTGCTTCACCCACTAAGGTTCTGGTGTCTCCCAGAGAATCTGTGATGTACTGCACCTGAGCTGTGCTGCAAGTGCTCCCGAATTCTCGGATGAATAGGTTTTTGGGCAGGACAGCGGTGCCATTCGTTGCACTGGAGACTGGCTTCGAGATCATTTCAGACGGAATTATGGACCTTGCCAGGCCGAAAGGTATAATAAATATCAGTAGAACGAGCTGTAGCCCCATACTCCAATGGTTCGGTGCTCTCATGGTTTCCAGCAATGAGTCCTTCACAATGAGACAGATCTGCAACTGAAGTACAATTGGGATATTGAACTGAACAAAAGTGAGAAAGCCTTGGTGTATCTGAAGGCAAATTCCCTCGGAATGCTCACTTTATTTACAGTATGCGAAGCACTCGATCCAACTAAGTCATCGGCCCAGTCAGGGACTCGACTCAGTATGTTACACCTAAGAGCGACACCTTCCACGCTTGCCGATAGTACTAAACCTGAATAGCCAAATTACAGCCTTACATCGGCCGCACTGTGACAATGGAGTGGTTGTCAGTGATGGATTTCTGCTCTACCCGGTCCTTTCTTCTACATGCATCTTGGGAACGCGGCTCTCACTCAGAAAACTATTTTCTAGCTGACCTGAAAGATACCAGGCTAATGATGTGCTTGATATGCAGAAAAGCTGTACAGGTGGCATGAGCTTGCACTGCAGATGTAACAATGGGACGCCCTGCGCGGAAGTCATTTGCCCACCAGTAAGTGAAAATGCCTACTCTAGGAAGATCAGATGAGGAGAATATTTCTTGCTACTGACTTAGGGGACCTGAAGAACAGATTATGGCATGCTGACATTTTCAAAGCAACCAATGCTTGGGCGAGCTACCTAAAACTAGCCTTGTGACTATCTCCTAGGGAAACCCCTGGTTTAACAACCTCAAGATATATTATGATAGGCTCTGATTTTCAGGCCTCCCATCAGACAATCTAATCTGCAGGTCCAGTCACAATTTAATATCACATTCTGATTCTCATATCTGTGATAGAGCTAGTGGTATTACTGCACACAAGCGATTTGGTGTTAGGCTAGTATGCCTCCGTGAAGCTGGAAGACTCTTAGGAAATTTCAGGAAACGGCAGATGTATACATTCAATCAAGTGAAAATTACACATTCAGAGAAATGACTGGGAGTATTTCCTTCTATTCCCATACTGCCTAGATATATAAGGAAACTCCCCCTAGACACTCTTGACCTAGCATCATGGAAACCCAGTTACGAAGGCTTGATTGATTGATATTCCACCATGCGTCACTCATTTATATCTCGGTGCGCATTCATCAGCTGCCTGCTGGGAAGCAGCTTCCATGCCCACGCACAATCAGGAACATGTTCCAACACCCAGCCGTGTACCTCTGGCTGTTGCTCAAACAGCGGACACTGTGGATTTGGGCCCGACTTTTGCGGATCTGATGCCTGTGTCTCCACCTGTGATGCGGTGGCCGAGTGTGGAGGTAGGCTTCCATATCTTTGCGCATCCAGAGTTGAGGGAGACTGAATAAGAGTTTAGAATATGCTGCTGTCAATGGTACAAGATGTCCGTTGAATGTTTGCTGTTCCCCGTATGGGTATGGAACCCTCCTATTTAGAACTTGAAAAAGGTAGAACGAGTTTGCTAACGGGTTGTAGCTTCTGCGGTACAACAGAACTTTTTTGCGGCACTGGTTGTCAGAGCGGATGTGAGGCTGTAAACAAGCCGTGAGTGTCGACTACATCTTCCTTTGCTCATACGCAGACTGGGATTCTGATGAAATAACATCTTAGCTCCTGCTCCGGGACATCATCAGATGCGATATACATGGGTTACTACGAGGGATGGAATCCTACGCAGAGAATGTGTGACATCCTTCTTCCCCAGGACATAAATGTGACGCCTTGGACAGTGAGTGTCACCCGGTATAGCCTTCGTTATATGTACGCCACCAGTTGACTAGGTCAATGTAGCATCTGTACTATGCCTTTGCTGGAATTGATAGCACAGACTCGACCATCACCACCACGAATCCGAACGACGAGGAGTATTGGAGACAGTTCACAGCTCTGAAACAGAAGAAGCCGTCACTAAAGACGTATATCTCCGTCGGAGGCTGGGACCTTGGAGGTAAAGTATTCTCAGATATGGTCAAATTTCCCGGCACTCGGCAATCGTTCATCACCTCAGCTATCGCAATGATGAAACAATACGGGTTTGACGGGATCGACATTGACTGGGAGTATCCTGCTGCCGAGGATCGCGGTAAGTTTTTCTGCCTTAATGTTCTACTGATGTCTTCTGGCTGATCTCATCCATGCACAGGCGGCGTCGAGGGAGATACAGCCAACTTGGTCAAATTCCTTGCAGAAATGCGGGATGCGATAGGCAATGATTTTGGTCTTACAGCGACCTTGCCTTCATCGTATTGTAGGTGATTCTAAGAACAGAGTCATTGCGGAGCCATTCTCATAGGTACTGCGTTTAGGGTACATGAAAGGGTTCGACATCGTCAGCATGGCGAAATACGTCGACTACTTCAACTTCATGGCTTACGATATCCACGGCACCTGGGATGGCACAACAAGCAATTCAAGCAGTCCTGATGTTAATCCGCACACCAACCTCACCGGTATGAGTCCTTAAGATGACCTTATTGCAATTCTAAGCTAAGTATGGATGGCAGAAATCAGTGCCGGGCTCGATCTCCTATGGCGAAATAGTATTGATCCCAGCAAGGTTCTGCTTGGGTTAGGATTCTACGGACGCTCGTTCACTCTGGCAGATCCGTCGTGCAACACGCCAGGATGCCCCTTTTATACTAAAAATAACAGCACCGGTGGTGGTGTGGCGGGAGAATGCACCGTCACCAGCGGGATTCTCTCCGACTACGAGATCAACCGCATCTTGGAGCAGTATAATGTCAATGTTGAGTACGACGCGACAGCGGGAGTCAACTGGATGACCTGGAATAGCAATCAATGGTAGGCTAGCATTCCTACCGTCCAGTGGTACCACTCTGACAGCCTCGCAGGGTATCTTATGATAACGCCCGGACGCTCAGGCAGAAAGCGGACTTTGCGAATGGCAAGTGTCTGGCTGGACTGTTCAGCTGGGCTGTTGATCTCGGCGGCCCTGGAACGCTGACCAACCCTAACGACCTCACTGCATCTGATTTCAGTATGGCCGGCGCCAGTACTGACGGCGGCGATGATGGATCGGGGATTGTGTACGTTGGCCAGGACATCTTTGGCCCGTCGCCTACAGTCTCTGCCATTGCCCCCGTCAGCCTCATCTTCCCCCCTTTCGTCCTTCCTACCCCGACGGTGATCACTCCAGACCCTTATCCAACATCACTGGAGGTGGCGTGGCCTACGGTCTTGCCTGTGGTGACCTCAGGTACCACCACCTACACCACCACGATCACACGGACAATTGTGAACACGACGCTAGAGGTGTCGCCCATAACCACCACAGCCCTGCATTTTTGGGGGTGGAACCTGACGAATGGTGTCAATTCAACATCAGGTCCTCTCATCATCAGTCTTGATATTCCCGATACCACCATAGAAATCGGTCCAGTCCCTGGAGTCACTCGAACGCCCACCCCCCGTGTTGTGAAGATCCCGCCCTGGCCTTGGGTAACCACTACCGGCGGCATCGAGCCCACCGTTCACTTCATCCAGGGCAATCCCCCGAGTCCCACATGCACTGCCAACTGCGGTCACAAGTGCTACAGCTTCTGCGATGGGCCATGCCTCGTCGACTGCGGGTCTGACAGCGGCAGCTCGTCAGGCTTCCTTGACCCGGAGGACTCGGACCCGCCGTCAGTCGGCAAATGCGTTGGCCCAGACTGCAAGAATGGAAAATGTACGGGCACCTTGTGCGTTCAGAAGGGCTGTACTGGCGATGACTGCGAGTCTGGCATTTGTCTGGGCTCACATTGCACCCCCACGGGCTGTACAGGGTCTGATTGTGATGACGGGCACTGCGCGGGGAGCCACTGCCAGGATCACGGCTGTGTGGGCTCTGAATGCAATAGTGGCTCCGGCACCTGCTGGGGACTCAGCTGTCTGTCCTGGGGATGCATAGGCCTCGATTGCTCCGGCTCCTCCTTCACCTGCAGCGGCCCTTTGTGCCATGTGGTGTCTTGCTCAGGGCCCAAATGCTCTGAGGGGATCTGCACGGGTAGTGGCTGCCAGTCTGAGGACGGGGACTGCCAATCGAGCGAGGCAGACGTCTGTACGGAATGGATCACCAGCACGCTCGTCACGCCTGCGTCTACGTATTCCACGTCGACCATCACCTCCCACTGCTCGACCATCACCGCCTGCTCAGCCCAAGCCACCACTAGTACCAGTACAGTCGGCTCAAGTGGGCTGGTCGAGGGAACCGTCTCGGACGTCTACTTTAGTCCAACGGCCAACTCAAACCTGGCAGCCAGCGCAGACGCCTATTGGTCTACCTTCTGGTCGCAGTTCGAGGGGGCATCCCCAACAACTATATCACCGACGACTACACCACCGACGACTACATCACCGACTACCACCACGACTGCCCCCTCCACAACAAACATCCCGAACTCGTTCATGATCTTCAAGTACGAAGTTCATACCGTATACTTTGATACGAGCGAGACTTATTCATACTCCTGGTACGGCGACTACTACAGCTACATGCAGGATGTAACCTCCGACAATGTCTGCACCAATTCCTACAAGGTCATTGGACCCGTAGATGCCAACGCAGGAGACCCATTCCCAGCCTCCCTGAGGTCTTTTAATCTCCCTGCCCAGTACACCGGATGTACCTACTCGGGGAGCACTGACTCAGTAGGATCAGTGAGCTGTGGGTCAAACCAATTCTCCTGCAGCAAGATCGATGGCTATGATGGGAAGACCCCAACCTACGACTGCGGAAAGACGACCGCGGACGGCGGAAGCACGTATATCTACCACTACTACTTCGAGGCGATCCAGTGCTCAATCACATACTAGCCTATACATCGCAAGGCGTATCCACTTGAATCATCACCTCTCAAATACCATAGAGAAGCTAAACATTCCTCCACCCCTTCTGACACAAAACCAACGGAGACTTATACTTTCATAGCTGGGGTATATAGACTTCCTTTAGCAGGCACTAGAAAGATGAAATCATCAAACCCTTATCCTTCTCTGAGGGCTATGCACTGATTTTCCTTTGTTCAAGGCCCAAGATCCTCTCACTCCAGGACCTCATGACATTGGCACCCCGAAGGGCCAACATTGCTATTTCTTCATAACCGCAGCTGCTGATTTCATCCAAGCGTCTTTTCCAGAAGAGCCATCGCGAGATGCTGAACCCAGTCGTCGGGTGAACATCATCGTCTCCTGCAAGGCCACCAACGGTTGAATCATCAAAATCATAATTCATGAGACAAAGGCTTTCAATTTTGTAGCCACATAACTCATACCACACCACGGCTGCAGGTAGCATGTCTGCAATCAGCGGCAGGCCCTTGTCTGGGCTTGCAGCCGTTGAAACCAGCGGCCTCGGCGTCTCCAGCGTATCCCATAAGATTCAAATAGCACACAAGCACAGGTCAGGATCCCGTGCGTCCCATGAGGCGAGGCGGGCTATAAAAGCACTGAGATCACGTCGCTGGCGTGCCGGGAGTTCTAGGGCTTTTTTCCAGGTCACCTGTATTTCTTTCACGAGAAAGGGCAGATCAGCCCAAATCCTGCCATCAGGTGTCAAAGCTTCTTCCCGAATCCATTGACCTGGTCCTTCTTCTTGTGATTCTGTGGCTGGCACCGCAATCCTGCGAGAGAGCGTGCCCATTTCACGGACGTGCAAAACTTGGGCCGCCAGGCGGTCCTGACCAGGGTGTTTGGCGTCCATGATTCATGCACCCTGGAGTACCATATATAACAGTTCGCGCAAATCATACTCATAGTAAACCACCGGAAGACCGGACTTTGTGTATCGACTTGATATATTTTTGGCAAATAGTCGTGCTTTCTGCCAGAACCTGTTATCATCGTTGAAGCCTTCTTCCACAAACTCTGCGTTGATGGCCGCGATTTGGTCAAGATGGAACGTTTCGCGGCTGCGAAGCTTTTCTTCTGAAGTGGACATTTTGTGACATATAGTAAAATGTAACCTGTTGTTATTTTCTGAGGCAAGATTAACCCCTGATGTGAAAGAGCGCGTGAATCGCTATATATATGCAACAGCTGGCGCCTGTGCCTGTAGTAATCAGCTTCTCAGTAATTTTATGGATACTCAGTGCTTTAATGCCTAGTCTTAGGGTACAAAAAACACATGCGGAATACAGTAGTTGGAGATGCTGATTTATTAGTACTTTATTTTCAACTACCACTAAATAACTTGTGACACATATTCTAAAACCAATCATTCAGTCAGATGCCATTCGGCCAGATGAATAAGAAGTCGAGCAATTCTCTGAAAGATGCAACTAAGAGCATACGCAAGGATACTGGACACCTGGGTTATCCTGGTAGATACAGACGCCATTGTTCACAAGACACTGTATGTTTATTACAAAGTCTCTGTCAGTTAATTTAACCCCATTGATCCATCCAGAAAGCTATACCTACTGTCATGGCGCCGACTTCGAGGTTCAGGCTATCCCCATTTATCTCCATCACCTTCATCCTTTTTGTGCTCCTATCCCAAGGAGATCATTTGCTATGAATACCAGAGTTAATTGCTGTTAGAGTTGCATACCCAGACTGCAAAAATAGAATCTAACTTCTTACTGGGCTTACTGAGCTTACTAAGGTGAGGGTTTAGTTCCTAGGATCTGTAGTGGTTAGAGTTGCATTTCCAGACCGCAAAAATCAAATCTAACCCTCACCAAACTCACTGCAGTGAGGGTTTGATCCCTAGGCTAGGGATCCATAGTAGTTCCAGTTCCCCTCTGGCCCCTACTAAACCTCTCAGCTTAAGGGTAGAGAAATTAGAATCTAAAAACTACTAAAATTTTTAATTCTGCTAGGCCTGTCCACAATTTCATAGGTCCTCACTCACATTCTATATATAATCTTGGCACATAATTACAAGAAAAAAAAAACAAAGCATCAAATGACAAATATCAATCAGTTTCTTGCGATCAAAAAGAAAAGAAAAAGATGAATCAAAGTGTTAACATTGAGTTCTGCTACCTCCATCCTCTCCCTAATTGTCCCATGTGCTATATATGCCTCTGTGGAGCAATGACAATAATGATTGCAAAGTGATGAGCCGATCCTTGAAGCAGTCTCTCGTCCGCTGTAGAAATAAGCCCCACAAACAAAAGCGGCTTCTCGCCTGAGGGTACTGCGAGCACGGATGTTGATGCCGCTCCCAAATCTCAATAATGCCTGGGCCATGCAGATGTTCTCTATAAATAGAGCCTGTCCAAGACATTGCTCATACTCCACGGCCATTCCCCAATTCCTTCCAGCAACACATCCTCAACATTCCCAATAATCAATAATAAGGACTCGGACCTGGAGCTTTCGCAACAATAGCAACAATTAAGATTAGGTGATAGGACGAATAAACATATAACACACTCCAACAAAGTGAATGAATGTTTCCAGGCGAGCTTGATCGGCGCCGCGCACAGGTATGCGCACCGTTGGCCAGATACACGCTCTGACAGACGGGGGATGGGCAGGAGACGCGCCACGCCCTGGCCAGCATGATCGGCACAGAGCCCCATATTGTTCCATCAGCTGGTCGTCAGGATCCTGGAAGATGATGAGAATGGCAAGCAAAGACACCGATCGGATGGTCATTTCCCGACAGGTCCTCGAAAAGGTTGTGAAAAAAGTAGCAAAGTCAATTCCACCAACACCCCATTCGTTATCCATGCAGCCTGGCCGGAGCCAGCTTCGACCTATAAGGGCCAGTCACTAATTGCGGTTTCGGTTTTGGGTTCGCTGCTCATCGCTGCTCGAGTACTGCCCCGTCGTGTCCGTCGGGGATGTTGTGGATGAATCTTCCCATCAAGGCATTCTGGGTCAGCTGCGATCCATCCTCTATCAAGTACGACGTGCATCGCTTCTCACCTGCTGATCGATATCCAAGGTCTTCTTTCGCGGCGCCAGCGCTGCTTGAAGATCCGGTTCCGTCAAGAATCACTGATTGACGCGCTTTCAGACGTGCCTCGGTCGCGCGGATCCTGGCCTGGAGTTCTTCCAACTCTCTCGTCTGGATGAGCATCTGGAATTTCCTAAGCGGAGAATCAAAAAAAGGACGGTTAATTTTGATTCGTCTCATTGGAACTGTTGCAGTCAGAACCTACTTCTGTTCGATGCTCTGCGACAAGTGATCCACTTCTGAGTCCAGCGCAAAGACGCTGTCCAGCGTCGAGGAAAAGGCTTGAGCCATAGTCCTGCCATGTCTTAATCAACACCAATACTCTGATAACCGTAAGGACGCAGATGGGTAGACAAACGACTGGGGCCGATTCTTTGGCTTCCATTCCTGATGCATGTCCGACATCTTGATGAGGTCGAGGTGTTTGATCAAGATATATGATGATGAGAGGAGTCCAGGATGTCCGATGGGTTGATTGTGTTGTGGTCCTATTCAGGAGGGGGAGGTGACAGAGCGCGCACCAGGAGGGGCAGAAGAGGACGAGGTAGAACCAGATCGTAGGCTGATCAGAAAAAGACAGAGAAGCACAGTGGATCTGGATGTGATTAGAGTATTTGTTGAGACCAGGGCCAGTGGATGATGGAGCTTTACCGACAAACACAAGGCCAACGGTACTATGTCGCGGCTACTTTAATAGGGCCACAAAGGGAGGCACAGGCACCACTTTTGCGAACCGAGCAGAAGTACACGAAAGCACCAACGAAGAGACCTGGCGCGACAGTGCACAATCGAAGGGAGGAGCGACGCGCAACGAGCAGTAGATTTCACTGTTGAGATAGAGTAAGATCCAAGAGGAGAAGTAGTATGAAGAAAGGGTGAAGATGAACAGGGAGAGAGAGAGGGAGGGAAGTGATAGTTAGTCGGCGTAGATCAGTACTTAGATAAGTGTGCTTTGTTAGTCAGACCTTCTACGACGGAGTCAGTCAGGTGTAGATAGTTTTTTTGATCTAGCTGTTGCTCATTTCTCATTATGAATTTCCGAGCCTCCTTTTCATTTTAGTCTTTGCTGGATAATTCTCCATATTCGCAGTCGTCGAATCTAAAATTATGGAGGACAGAAGCCCAGTTAGTGTTCTTACTACTTAGAGGTGGATATCCACCGTCCACCACTAGAGAGTAGAGTAGAGGGGCTGTCGCATATTTCTCGAAGGTATGTACGTAGTATAATGTATCTCTAGCTATGAGCTGAGCTGAGCTGAGCTACCTAGTACCTACACTCCTACATACTTGCTGATTTACATCTCCCATCAACCAGCACTTTGGATCTGCCTGGATGCTGAAAATGCTCGATTGGAATGGAGACGGTCAGTACATGTAATCTGACGACGCCTGCTGCTCATAACCAACGAATATCATCTCCTATGCTAGCCTGTTGATACGTTTGGAGTTTTTCTGAAAAAGGGGGTCACCTTAAGGACAATTCGGCCCCCTGACAATGTGGGGTACTGTCATTTCATGTATCTAAGACTCTAAGTGTTATGTTAAAACGACTTGATGAACCAGGAACGTAATTTCATTTGCTGTTGCTAGATAATTTTCTAATTACTATGTAGTTCTCCTGTCCGATCACAAAAGCTCCTCCATGTAAAATTACCATGCGCCATTGCAGTTATCAAATTGTGATGGGACTCTCGTTTTTGTTGATTTTGATTGGCGACCTATAATTGCTAGCTCCAGCGCCTCGGAGTCGCCTCTACTAGTACTATTACGGAATATCTCCACTACTTAGGTAGGTACCTAAATATTGTAGAGTATGTGATTGTGGACGAGTCCATAACAACTAACAAGACCCATTTAAAGGACGCAAACAAAGAAGCTTGAAATTTAGATAACTCCCTACAAAAAAGACTGGTGAATCACCCCTCATAAATCCAGGGACCAGGGTACATCTCCTGTATGAGAGAGTTTGATTGATTTTGCTTCAGATTACCTTGCTTTCAGATTTTCTGATTCATCCTATAGTTCTTGAGAGGGTGTCTTCTGCCTCTCACGATTCTGGATGAGATTATCTTCACATCCATAACAAGCCTTCATGCTTTAAGGAGGTGTTGCTAGAACTTGGATATAATTCTATGACATGAAGCGAAGTACCTATATGGTAAATTCCAGGATCTATTAATAATAATACGAGGACACTCAGAGTGTATTGTTGGATGGCTGTGCGTGGGGTTTGGATCGGAAAGCGTGGCCGTTTAGTACGCAAATCTAGTGTAGACAAACTAGTTCCCAGGGCCACACTACACCTTTGTAACTCTTTGTTCGTCAGGCTCTATTGATCAGGAAGCATAAGAAGTGCCAGACTTTCGCATTTTGATGTTTCAATTTTTTTTTTGATTGATATGCCTCAAACCAAAATGAAGAACCCGGGGGAGGTCGATTAGAAAAAGCTTCCATGAACCCTGATAATCATCGAAGGTGGACTTCAATGTTGATCCGACCTAAGTTGTCCATATGATTTGTACCTGTGAAAAGATAACTAGGACAAAATACTCACTGAGAAGCCTCCCAAGCCTTCAGATAAACTGGCAGATTCAAGATAAATTCTCTCCGGCGCGGCTCCCACCCAAGCACTGTTCGCGCCCGTGAAGCATCTGATCTGCTCACCAGACTCAGCGCCTCCAGGAAGGGATTGCCATGTGTACCAGTATACTCCAGCCTGGCCTTGATGCCCAGCGTCTCCTTGGCCGCCTCCATGATCTCCTGGATGCCAATGGTTTCCGTCACCAGATCAAATACAGGCCAGGCGCCGAGCCGGCTATCTAGCCGGTCAATGGCCGCATGGAACGCAGCTGCCGCATCATCGACATGCACCATGCCGGTTCGCGCGGTGAAATCGGCGGGAACCTGGATCGTCTCCTCACTGCCAGACTTCTTTGCGGCAAGAAGGCAGCCCCACCACGTGTCCATGACCCAGGAGGTACGACCATACATCGTACCGGGTCTCATGATGGCCACATCCAGGACATCCCGAGACGCCAAGATGGCCTGCTCATGAGCTGGACGCCAGGCTACCGGGGTGGCCGGCTTGCCCTTGGATTGCGCACTGCCGACTGGGGACAAATCACTGACACGAGACGAAGGCGAGCCGTGCACCCATAGGCCGGAGCAGTACACATATCCCAGCTTTGGGCCAACGATATTCTCCTTCTTCAGCGTGTCACGGCGAGCTGTAGCAGCGTCTAGAACCCCCTGGAGGATCTGCCCAGCCTGTTCGAAGGCAGAGGTCGAGTCCACCACCACATCGATGGAGTGCTGGGTAATGAGAGTTGCGAGTTGCACTGGATCTGTGATGTCATCCTCGATGGGATGGACCTCGTTCTGGAGGAGGAGCCTCGCTTTCTCGGGGCTACGAGCTGTACCCCAGACAGTGTGGTTGCCAGATCTAAGGAGGGATTTGGCAATGGAGAAACCCAGGTAGCCTGATCCGCCGAGGATCAAGACGTTAGGCATGATAGTGATAGTGGTATCGTTCTTTAGGGAAGTATTGGTATGTTTCTCAGTTTGATGTCCATCCATCGATCTGCCGGCTGATATTTATACTTTGTGACTGTATCTTGTCCAGCTCCATGACGAACGGAACTTCGGAGGCCGCTATGTCCGTTGCAAGAGGGTTTGTCATTTATACCGATATCTTTGTTCGTGTGCTGGGATGATGTGAGAAATTAGAGCATTCAAACCCCTGCATGTCATAGCGACTACGGACCAAGATACCCAATTCAATGTGAGTATTGGTAAGCGATCATGCGATGCCCAGCTGGGACTCGATCTCCGAGAATATTCCCGCTCAATAGTCCCAGGCACTTGTGTCTTCTACCGTAGGACACGCAGCAGACAACGCCAAGCTCGGATTTAGATGTCGGGGTTACGACAGCAAACTCGGAGTTATCAGACCTAATATTAATATATCTTCAGTTTTCTGTCACATTCTTTCTTCGTGCATGGAAAATAAGGGAACCAAGGTTCAGTTAGAGGGGGGTCCCCAGAGCGATGCTGACCAGAAGTCAATGAGGTAGGAAGTCCTATAGCAAAGATGCTACGAATGCTTCGAATGACCGCCAGCAAGTACCTAGGAGAACAGCTATGAACCTTGGCCGTCTTCCCACTGTCCTGTTCTGCAGGGGGAAAGAAGGCATCATGGTAGACTGGATGAAGAGTATTGACCACGCACCGCGAGGCTAGATGACAGCAACGCGCTTTCCCTAGTTTGGGATGCTATACCGGTTTCTAGTGATTTATCTTACCTATTTAGGTACTGTTACTGAAAAACACTAGTTACAGTACGGAGTAGGCCTACTCCGTACGGTAACGTCGATCGGTGGATGGAAGCCACGTGATCTGGCCCCTCCGTCGGCGGTCGGGGTTTCTTTGCTCAATTTTCCCTCTCAGGAAAAGGAAGAGAGACACACCAGAGCAGTCTGTCGTTTGGGCGTGCAACGCACCGTCGTGGTCATTCCCAATTTTCATTTCCATCAATAATTTTATCGTCTTCATCAAAGATACATCTTAGTGATCTCGGATTTACCTTTCAAACACCGATTTTTCCTAATTTTCCCGCCCCAATCCTCATCGGTTTCTGGACACCGTGGCCCCGACTCCAGGATTTTCCTCCCTTCTTGTCCTGCACTAATGGTCTAAACCGCTAGCCGTGCTACAACTCCGGTCGCGTCTATTTCGTGTTGGATTGATTGATTGCGCTGGAGGAACTTATCGGGCCAACCACTGACACGCTCCATCACCGTGGCCCCAATCTCCAAATCCTTCTCCCCCAGTGGCCGACCAAACGGGCAATGGGGGATGCCTCCACTGTCAGCCTACACTCCCCTCGAATCCCTCCTTTTCTTCCAGTCTCTCGCCACGCTAGGTCGCCATCCCGTGAACTTTGCGTCTATCTCGGATGTATTGCGCAACAACGACTTCGTCCGCCAGAATGTTGCTTTCGATGCGGACCGGCTTGCGCCGGAGGCTCTCGAGGACTTGTACACGACCTTGATGCGCGAAGGTGTGGACAGCATCGGAGCTGCCCAGGTTTCTGAGCAGAATGGGGTACATGCGGAAAATCCACTGAAACGTAAAATCGCGAGTCCCCGCCCGGAGGTTCCAGCTGGTATGGGAAGACCCCATGCTAGTCTCGTTCCTGATTTGGTGTCACATCTATATGCCAGATATAAGGAGCTCGTGACCCGGGAGATTCGGAACGAGGAGAAAAGGTTCAAGGAAATTCGAGATGAAATTGAGCGACTACAGAAGGAGGAGCGACGTGGCCCACCACATTCAGTACCTACGACAACACCCATAACCGCTCCCGCAGTCCAAACGCAGCAGGCGAAACAGGAACTTGCGCCGGACCTAATGGACTTGGATATCAAGGAGGAACGGCCTGCTCGGCAACTTCGACCTGAACTTGAACCACCACCTGTTCAGCTGCCGTCGAAAGTCGATATTAAGCAGATTCAGCAAGAGCCGCAGATGAAGGGTTTTGTACCTCCTCCACAGAAGGACACACAACCAAATCTTGCCTCACGGCCACTGGAGAATGCGGTCGTACAAGCACCCCAAATACCACCAACGCCACCGGTTACAGTGTCGCACCTCGAACAGGCCAAGAAGGTACAGCAATCACCGCAGCTACATGTGCAAGAACCGAAACCGCAACCACAGCCAATTTCTTCCCATCCCCAATCCATCCCCCACGTGCCTGTCGACGTACTGCCACAGCGGCAGCCGGTTAACGGAAATGGGCCGCCGATAATTCAACAAGTCGCGAACAATCTGCCCGCAACCACTCCTGCGACTCAAAGAGTGACAAATGTGCCACCTGCGAAGTCACAGAGACCATCTGTTGCTCCTACACCAAGCCCTGGTGCAGTGCCAGCATTCACAGTAGCACCGTCGCCAGCTCAGCAGACCCTCCAGAAGCCTGTCCCTACCCCCGCTCCACAACCTGTTCCAGCGGCCAGGTTCGCGGGCAGGCAAGGCCCTACAGTCCCCACCACTGCCCCCGTGCCTCAACGCCTCCCACCGCAACCGACTTTTCAACAATGGTCTCTTAACAAACCGCCTCATACCCCACGGTCATCCTCCGTTGCTACCCCGCAAACCCTCTCTGAGAAGCGCGGTACCGCTGCAAGACCCATTCCCACCCCTCTTCCTCAAGAGACTCCGGCTCCAGAAATTAGAAAGACGCAGCAAAGTGTACCTCCCGCAACAGCTCCATCTACCCCGGGCCCCCCCCCTACCCCTGGCTCAACAGTCGCTCTCAAAAGCCAGGCCCAGGGTTATCATACACCCGTTGGGGCTGCACAAGCATTGCTTTCTGAGGCACGAGGCGCTCGTGTTCCCCAACTCTCTATTAATACAAGATCTTCCACCCCGTGGAAGAGCACACCACGTCTCAGCATCCCTAAGTCGCCTGGATCCCCAGAAAGACCTCGGCCAGAGGACGTTAGTCCCATCAGCGAGAGGGCTCCGTCTCCAATTGACTTTCCTGAAGTTCCGCCGGAAGAGGCGGGAGGTCGCAGGACCAAGCGCCGGAATGTGGAACAGAAGGCGACCAGAGCAAGCCGAGAACCTAGTCTACCCAGCACAGATGGAGAACCCAAGGGAAGACCCAAAGCCAAGGTAGAAAACCCCTCTGTGTCTGCTGCAGGGAAAATGCGTGATAGGAGCGCCACCTCATCCAGGAGTCGCGGAAGATCGATGGTATCGCGCGAAGAGGAAGCTACCTCGGAGACGGGACATGGCTTGAATGGAAAAATCAAGCATGAGCTCTCTAGTACGCCGGCTGCTTTTCCAGACGTGCCTGAAACTGAGACCCGTGTTGTTGGAACTCGGAAAGGGCCTACCACATGGGCACAGCCTGAGGAGCGCCCAGGGCGAGGAAGACCGAAACGAAAACGTGGAACGAGTGACGCTCCGGAGCCGGAGCCACTTCAGACGGAACTTAGTCGGCCTGATATCGCCCAGTCTGCCCCGTATGTGCTTTGTCCTCGTAATTTCCCCAGAACCGGTGCACCCATCATGAACGATGTGACCACGCACAAGCATGCCTCTATATTTGCGAAGCCGCTTGCGGAACGAGATGCACCTGGGTATCGAGATCTCATATATCGGCCGCAAGATTTGAAGTCAATCAAATCATGCATTCACCAGGGTAGTAGAGCCGTAGCCGCCGCTACTGAGGCTGCCAACACACCCGTCGCAGACGGGGAGTCGCCGGCCCCGAATGCAGCCACGCCGTCTAAGAACGCTGTCCTCGTGCTGCAAAAGACAGAGGACGTCATCCCTCCCAAGGCCATTGTCAACTCGGCGCAGCTGGAGAAAGAGTTGATCCGCATGTTCGCCAACGCTGTCATGTTCAACCCTGTTCCCCAACGTGGATTCGGACCTGCATTTCCAATGACCAGCGATAGCGGGTCGAGAGAAAGTACCTTGGTCCCTGAATCTGACGAAGGGGGCATCATCAAAGACACTCTCGAGATGTTTGAAGATGTTGAGCAAGCAGTGACGCGATGGCGTGCAGCTGAGCGGACTGCAGATGAGCTAGCCAGCAAGAGTGTCTTGTCACTTCGAAGAGGCAGCACGAGCGACATGAACATCGACAGTGCGGACGAAGTCAAGGGCTCGTGATGATTTGGCATGCTATCATGGAGATGGCTGAGTGTGATTTTAGATAAGCGAGCCCGTCCTTTTTCTCTCTCTTTATTACCACGATGTTGGGGTAGGGCACCTTGCAGCGTATCTGTCCGAAGACCTGTCACGCAATAGTTAAAGGCATAATGAAATGGAAAATAAAAAAGAAAAACTGTCCTTCACTGTACCGGCAATAAGAAAAGCTTGCCCAGCAAAGCTGATGCAAAATTCATGCATTGTCTTAAATCTCATAATCATGACTTTTGATTTCTCTTTTGGGTCTTGTAGCCATTTCTTTTTTCCCCACCCCTTTCTGCCAGTTGCCAGCAGAAACTCCTCCCTCACGCAGCGCCTCGTATGGCTTGGTCAGGCTTGGTTCTGCCCAACCCGTCTTTAGCATAGAAATCCATCGGATATACACCTTTGTTAGTATTATCCCAGTGCTCTCTCACGCCCAACGCAATCAACGCCTCGTAGGGCGTCAGGAGCGGCCGGGGGAACGCATAGCCCCAGTCAATACTGAGGCGGGGGCAGGCGATCTGCACCCAGCACTCAACGTCCGACATGGAGCCCAGTTTCCCGGGGAAGATCTCGCTCAGGAGCAAGTTGACGAAGGGGATCCCCCGCGCGTTGAGATGCTGCTCGATCATCGCCATGGTGTTGGGGTTTCCTTGCCGGCCAAGCGAGCCCAGAATGATGCCCCATTTCTTGGCCGATTTGGCGGTGCTGATGGCGTCTCGGCGGAGGGTGTGCATCTCGTCGTGGGAGTAGGTCTCGCGGGAGAGAATGCGGGAGTACGGATCGTAGCGGTATGCAGGGATGGTAGGGTTGTGGATCATGGCGGATTCGAGGTGGAAGCGGCCGTCGCCGAGGTAGAGGAGGATGTCGATCTCGTTTTCTGGGAGCTGCGGTGAAGTGCAGCCTAGAATTTCTCCCTTGGATAGCGGTGTGATCTGCGGGATGACGACTTTGAATCCGGCACGCTCCAGCACGGGTTTCAGACCGTGCAGAGTCGCGTTGAACTGGATCGTCCCGACGGTTGCGATGGTCTTGCCGGGTTGGAAGTTGCGCTCGAGCGTGGCGATCAGATGCGAGATGTCGATGCTGATATCCACGAAGATGTACAGCGTTTTGATCTGGGTCACGTCTACGGGGATGAGGCAGCTGTGGGCGTAGTGAACTAGCAGGTCACACCCCAATGCGCGAGCAGTATAGTCGTCGATGCAGCAGGCGCCGTATGTCACATCACCCATGATGAGCGTCTCCGTCCCTGGGCAGAATTGCGTCAGGATATCAGATATGGTTGTGGCAAAGATAAGTAGTCCCTCAGGGAACTGCAGAGCAATCCGTTTCGCGCCCGATGTTCGTATCCGATGGATCGTCTTTGGGATCTCGAAGGAGTAATTCTTGGGCAAAAGTTCGATTGCCGCCCTGATTTCGGGATCTTCCAGGATCTCGGACGGTACTTGATTCAGCGTTCTGGGTGTTCTCCGTGGTGCAGCTGGCGAAAGGAATCGTTAGTCAAGATTATGAGCACAGCTTCATGCAGATTAGGGGCAACTCACCCGTCTGAATGCTTGTTGATTCGACGTCTTGGGAATTCGTGGGAGCATCTTTCTGCGCTTGTGCCTCTGCTGTCCGTCTCCCGACAAACCTCTTCTTGGGCTGTCGAAGACTAGCGATCGATCCAGACTCGTCCATGTTCATTTAAATCTCAGTTGACGAATTCAATGTCTTCTAACTGATGGGTTGGTGGCTCACCCTGCGGTCGAAGTGGGATGGACTGATTTTCTTTTCTTATCCTGACTAAGATGGGACCACAATGTGGCGGTTGGACTTGGATCAGGTGGGGTCGCCAAATGTATCCAAGCGGCTTCTCTCCGCATTCTCGGCTCGTTGAATGGATGATCTTCAGACTCGAGAGCCCAGAAGCACGGGGAGCTACCTCTTCCCTATCCCGTCAACATCTGTCCTTTACATTCACCTCAGTTAATTAATTGCTCCCCTCTGTTTCAATACAATAAATATGGCTTTCCGACCGCGATTGAGCATGTTCTCTGCCCTTCGGGCTGCCCCGGCTGTTCGACGCTTTGCGACAGAGGCGCGGCTAACATCGGACCATGTTCGTATCGTTGAAGTCGGTCCTCGAGATGGATTGCAGAACGAGAAGAAATCCATACCATTTGAGACGAAACTCCAGCTTATCGACAAGTTGGCGAAGACGGGTGTGACGACCATTGAGGCAGGCTCGTTTGTATCTTCGAAATGGGTGCCACAGGTATGGATTTTGCCCTTCAAGACCGAGGATGATTATTGCAAGTAACTGTGACTGACCGTTCTCGGGCTTGTTTAGATGGCGAGTACTGCAGAAATTTGCGAACATCTGCTTCGAACACCACCGCAATCGCAGAATGATATTGCATACAACTACCTTGTTCCCAATGTCAAGGGTCTTGAGGGTCTCATCAAGGTCATGGACGCCGCTGGAGTTAAAACTGGGACACCGACGGCGGAGTCAAACTCCCCTATATCCACCGAGATTTCACTCTTTGCCGCAGCCACTGAAGCTTTCTCCAAAGCGAACACCAATTGTACCATCGCGGAATCGCTGGAACGGATCCGCCCCATCGTAGCATTGGCTAAGACGAAAGATATCAGAGTACGTGGATATGTATCAGTCGCACTGGGTTGTCCCTACGAAGGCCCCGATGTTCCTCCGTCTAGAGTTGCGGACATCACGGCCACACTCCTCGAAATGGGAGCTGATGAGGTATCCGTGGCTGATACTACGGGCATGGGAACTGCACCACGAACAATGGAGCTCTTGTCAGCACTCACTGCTGCAGGCATTGCAAATACTGATCTGGCGCTTCATTTCCATGACACATATGGCCAAGCCCTCGTAAACACTATCGTGGGACTGGAGCACGGCATCCGAATCTTCGATAGCAGTGTTGGGGGTCTTGGTGGATGCCCCTACTCCAAAGGTGCTACTGGAAATGTGTCGACAGAAGATTTGATTCACACTCTTCATAGTCTCGGTATGCACACTGGTATCAATCTGGAAGAGATGTCAAAGATTGGGGCGTGGGTCAGCGACGAGTTGGGCCGATTTAACGAGAGCAGAGCAGGAAAAGCGACGCTTGCAAGGATCCAAGACAAGTGTTGATTAAACAACTTTTGAAGATCTCTCTATCTTTTCTTGTTGATCGTGGAATTTTCATGGGCAGCACAAAGTTCAATGTTTCTTGTTCTTTTCCCTAACAATCTGGTGTAAACGTAATAGCAAGGCACGGTGTTTATGTTTTGATAGTCTTTCTAGAGAAAGCAGTATAAGCAGAATAACATATCGCATGCGTCATGAACACAACTTTTCGTATAATACATTTCTCTTGTGCTCTCATATAGTACAAGGAAAAGGGACATCGAGATCTCCCTTCACCGATCGAAGTCGAAAATTGTTGCAACAGTCTAGAACTTTCCAACACGCCGCGAAAACGCAATGCGGATAGTCAGATTTCACAATATATTTGCCAAGGCCGCAGGGCGTGAGCGCAGTCTTGATCCCGGATCAAAAATCAGTCACACGCCCGCCATAGCTCCAGTCTCCCCCTGCGCCCCATCGTAGCGGCTCGTTCTTGGGCCCGCCAATCTCGCCAGTCTTGGGGTTCTTCTCGCCCTCAAACTCAGGCTTGATCCCCAGTCGCAGGTCGGGATGAAGCTCCTCTCCCTTGCCTGTAGCCTTGAACTCGGTTTTCTCTTCACTGGCGGGCTGCGAATGGGGTGATTGGTTGACCTTGGGCGGTGTCCGCTGAGGTGTACTGAATGCGCCTGTGGATTGCTTCTGAAGTTCCTCAAAGATCTCTTGTTCTTCCTTGGGAAGTCTGGGAGGCGCTGGGCCGCGGCTGAATGCGAAGGCGGGCTTGTCGTTCCGTAGGGCGGAGTGGCATGAGAAGGGCCGAGAGGCAACTCTGAGAGTTGCTGTGGAGGGTGTAAGAACCCGACGGGGTACAAAAAAGGAAGTCATCATGCAGGTGCTTGTGGCAGTATAGCTGTGCTGTTCAAAACAAATATAGCGCAGAGACGAAGTGACGGAAATGCGGAGTGGCGGAGATAGATTCGACTCATCGTTCTAGTGTTGGCCCGATAAGCGGGCCGCCCGATATCGCGGTATTTTTCTGGGCCCATCAGTCACAATCACTTTTATGACTCTCCCCTCGTTCCTATTTATTCGGTCCTTCCTGAGGTCAATCGTTTTTGCAACTTCTCATCCTTCACGCTCACGGGCTTTTTCTTGCTAAAATGACTTTTATGCGAGTGGCCGCGCGGCGTCTGCCGCTCACGAAGCGATTTGTTCCTGGAGTCCAGTCACCACTTCAGCAACGATTTGCTTCAGTATCATCAGGAACCCAAACAGCGAAGGCTTCTGAAGATGTCAGGGCTCAGGCAACAGTGAGCTACCAAGTATCTACTTAAAAGTACAATTTAATAATGAAGCTTTTCCCAGAAAGGGGCAACCCTGCCTGCCCCAGATCCTGCGGCGGATTCGGCAACAGTGGCATTCATCAAAGAGCGCACACCTTACATGGTCCCTACCTACGTGCGACCAGCCCCTATAATGATCAAAGGACAGGGATGTTACCTTTGGGATATGGAGAACAGGCGGTATCTTGATCTAACGGCCGGTATCGCCGTCAACTCGCTCGGTCACTGCGATTCGGAGATTGCGAAAATTATCGCAGAGCAGGTGCGTACTAGTCGGGACCGATCGATTTACCAAAATATGTGTCTCACACGGTCATAATATATAGGCCGAAACACTCATTCATGCCTCGAACTTGTACCACAACGCTTGGACTGGTGCTCTCAGCAAGCTGCTGATTGAGCTGACCCGCGAGTCCGGTGCCATGCGCGACGCATCTCAGGTTTTCATCTCCAACTCGGGAACCGAAGCGAATGAGGCTGCGATTAAGTTCGCTCGCAAAGTCGGCCGCTCCCTTGACCCCTCGGGAGCCAAGCACGAGTTCGTCTCCTTCCATAACTCGTTCCATGGCCGCACGATGGGCGCTCTCTCCGCCACACCCAATCCCAAGTACCAGACTCCTTTCTCTCCCATGGTGCCTGGATTCAAGTACGGCAACTATAATGACGTTGCGCAACTTCAGGAGCTCATTACGGACAAGACTTGCGGTGTCATTGTAGAGCCCATTCAGGGAGAAGGTGGTGTCAACGTTGCTACTCCGGAGTTCCTTGCTGCTTTGCGTAAACGCTGCGACGAGGTCGGAGCCGTTCTCATCTTTGACGAGATCCAGTGCGGTCTGTCCCGTACCGGCTCTTTCTGGGCTCACGCTCATCCTTCACTAAAGCCCGCCTCCGGTGAAGCTGCCCATCCCGACATCCTCACTACTGCCAAGGCACTGGGTAACGGTATGCCCATTGGCGCTACTATTGTCTCTGGAAAGACCGTTGCAGAGCACATCAAGACTGGCGACCACGGTACAACTTTCGGAGGCAACCCGCTTGCCTCTCGTGTCGCTCACCACATTGTTGAGCGTCTCTCCTCGCCAGAGCTACAGAAGTCTGTCGAGGCCAAGTCGGCTTTGTTTATCTCCGGTTTTAAGGATCTTCAAAAGAAGTATCCCGAGGTCATCTCTGAAATCCGTGGTCGTGGATTGATCCTCGGTGTCCAGCTGTCTAAGCCCTATGGTGCGAAGGCTTCTGACTTGATCACAGCTGCCCGTGAACGGGGGATGCTGATTATCACTGCTGGCGATGGCTGCCTTCGTTTCGTTCCTCCTTTGAACATCACAGAGGAGCAGATCAAGACATCTCTTAGGATCCTGGAGCAGGCGCTCGATGCTGTTGTCAGCAAGGCGTAGAGCTTGAATGTTAACAAATGAGGATTCTATTGTTCATATATTTTTTTTTCTGCTGGTAGACCGATCCATTTAACATTCTGTGTCAACGACAGCGAACTCTATGCGTTATTACAGAGATCCTATATTAGATCTAGATAAAAGCACGCCGTACTTTGCGGCTTTAGGGCATTTAATTATGTTCTTATGTATAAGTTCGCAGTCCCGATTGGCTATAAGCACCCGAGTATAATGATTCTGAGATCATGAAATTGAAGAATGCATGGACAAAGGGTAACCCGATCACTGGTGGTTGAGTGGAGTGATTCAGGCATCAAGGCACCCAGCCAGGTCACGAGCACGATCGCCACTCTTATCATCACCGCTTCCATGTTGCTTTCAACTATCACCGACAACGAACTGCATATCCCAGTTACCCAACCACTTCCCGGTAGATTTTCCCGGTTCATGATGCTGGGGATTGCCTTGTAACTTATTGACACATAACCTACTCCTATATTCTCTACTCAATGGATACGGACTCCTGTCTTCTAGGTCCATCAACTCAATCGTAGCGTATCCCTTATCTGATCCTCCTTGTTATGCCTCAGACAGCCAGTACAGAGGACGAATCCATGCTACCTCTTCCAGGTACTCCATCTTCCTCCTGGGCCCGATCTTGCCAACGGCTCGGCGCTGTATTCCAGGGCGCTGATCCTCGGGTCTGTGTGGCTTTTTGGCTATTCGGTAAGCCACGTTGATCTCGAGCTTATCCTCGTGAGTGCTAACTTGCCGCGTTTGCTTGGATTGCGATGAACAGGTTTGATCAACAATGTCCTCTATGTCATCATTCTCTCTGCAGCGCTTGACCTCGTCGGTCCCAATATCCCCAAAGGCGTCGTCCTTCTCGCGGATGTGACACCATCGTTCACGACGAAGCTTATCGCGCCGTATTTCATCCATGTGGTGCCCTACCCCGCGAGGATCGTCATCTTCGTCTTCCTGTCTGTAACAGGCATGCTTCTCGTCGCACTGAGTCCGCTAAATATCAATGCCAGTTCGATTGCCACAAGGCTGGCAGGCATCGTACTGGCCAGTATATCAGCTGGGGCGGGAGAACTAAGCTTCCTGGGATTGACACATTTCTATGGGCCCTTCAGTCTCGCCGCCTGGGGAAGCGGGACGGGAGCAGCTGGCTTAGTCGGGGCTGGCGCGTACGCTTTGGCTACTACTTCGTTGGGGTTGAGTGTGGACACGACCCTCTTGATGTCTGCTTGTCTTCCCGCTGTCATGGCAGTGAGCTTCTTCATGATCTTGCCGAGATCTCCCTTGCAACCATTTTCGTCTGCATATGCCGGGTATCGCGCTCTGGAGGAAAGAGAGCAACTTGCAGAGGAGCGCGCATTCATGGAGGACAGTTACGATAACCTTCTTGATGGTCAGGACCAGCTTCTGAGTGAATCGGTCCATTCGAACCGAAGCGAAAAGCTCGGATGGCACCTCTTCAAGGCAAATCTGCGGCGAGTCCGGAGTCTTTTTTTCCATTGTAAGTCAGGGTTATGATAGTGATGGTGATGATGATGGCATGCTGATGATCATGATTTAGTATGCTTCCGCTCCTTTTGGTCTATATCGCAGAATATACGATCAACCAAGGCGTTGCCCCGACGTTGCTATTTCCCCTCGATGAATCACCCTTTTCACACTTCCGGGCCTTCTATCCGGCTTACAATGCCATTTATCAGGCTGGGGTGTTCATCTCTCGATCCTCAACACCATTTTTCCGCATCCATGATCTATATTCCCCGACCTTCTTACAGATTCTGAACCTGGCGGTGTTGACCCTTCATGCCGTGTTCAACTTCATCCCTAATGTATATATCATTTTTGTGATCATTTTCTGGGAGGGACTATTGGGCGGCCTGGTCTACGTCAACACATTTGCTGATATTGGTGAACGTGTGCCAAAGGAGGATCGCGAGTTCTCTTTGGGGGCAACCGCCGTCAGTGACTCGGGAGGCACTTGTATCGCTGGGTTTATTAGCATGGCTTTCGAGGTGTGGCTCTGCAATTGGCAGGTTGCACATGGACGGGATTATTGTCGGAAAACATAGATAGATAGATCGCATGCATGAACAATGAAAGGATAGTCCCAGTCATAACAGACGCGCTCCTCCAGGCAAGACCCCTGTTCGATTGTATTCTCAAGGAGGACGCCTGAATGTCCGTCTGACTTGGATGGGTGAGGTCACGGGTGCCGGGGGGGGGGGGGGGACGGGCGGATTGACATGTGATGGCCGCACCAGGACTCGAGAAATCAATCGATCGATCTGTCCTCCACAACCATCGAGTATCGACACTGACAATCTGCAGTCTGTACCACTGGTGGTCTTATCTCCCGATGATTGAATTCATCTTTATGCGTTTCAGATTGTCAGAGAGAACCAATTAAGGGACTCTCATATCAAGCTCTTAATCGATGGACGACTGCACCAGAGGCCCCCAGACTGCCTCAGCTGCTGTGGCGGTACTGACTAGTGGAGCCTTTCACATGCTTCATCGTAGTCATCTCCCCCCATTATTATTCATCGACATCATCAACACTTCGCTATGATTACGACGTACTAGTGTCGCTCGAAATGCCCCATATGCTGCCTTCATCATTGATGGCCAGTGCCGGATTGCTGGACGCGGCAGATATTATTGATTAACTATCGCTGTTTGTTTGTCGCGGCGGGTCTCCCCACTCTGTCTGTGGTGGCAATTCGCTGAAGACTCACTTTGTTTGGGTTGCGACTTAAAAACTAAGTATTCTAATATTTTACACCTGGGGTCCCCGCAATCCTTAGTCTGTTCTTCTTGATTCTTATATGATGGAAGGGTGAGCTGGTGGTATTCGTTTTCCTCATTCCGAATCCAGGTTTCTGTCGCGCACTTGATTCCCTCTTTGTATTCTTCACTTCTGCCTTACTTACACTGAGTTGATTCAAAGGGATAGTCAGATTGTGGCTACCTTGGGGCCTGAGTAGAGATGATAGGTAGGGAGGTTCCATTCCCAGCTTCTTTCTGGTTTTGAACTGACAAAGAGACCAAGATCACGTTCTGGGGAGACCCTCGACCAAGTTTCGCAAGATCCAAGTGTTTGCAGTATTCCTATTCTGGTCCGCGTACCTGGCCAGGTAAGTCATCCCATCAACTTTGTACATCTGGCAGTCAATGTGCTAAGCATAGTAATGGATAGAGGAAGCAAGCATGGCCCTCCACTCGTCCGCAAGCTGTCGTCGCGCTTGTCGGAGAAATTGACGGTCTGGCAGACCACCGTGGTTGTATTCTTATGGCTCTATGTCAGCCGCAACTTCGCCAAAATTGTCGGTCTCGAAAGCCCAGAACCTCTGGCGAATTTGTATTCCCGCTCGTTCTTCCGTGCAACATGGATCGTCACGGCGCTGGACGCTGGATTCTGGACTGCGATGAAAATCAAGCCCAACTGGCTACGGGATATTGCCTCGTTGGTCTTCACGGCTTACTATCTGTTCGCGGCTGAGCAAGCAGACGACAAGGTGCGCCGTGTTCGTGCAACATTGACTGTAGAACACTTGCGAGTGTCATGGAATAAGGGAACCACTCCGTATCTATGGGCGCTCCAGAAGCTGTTGCGTCCAAGATTCACGCGCTACCCCCCTCGTGCCATTCGAATTCCACGTCCGAAACAGTCTGTGTACAACGAGCCAACGGAGGCATGGCTGTATTTCGACGGACCGCTCAGCGCATTGCGGGATCAGACCTGCTTGATCCTGGATGTTCCGGGAGGTGGCTATGTTGCTATGGATCCGCGCAGCTCCGAAGACAAGCTACTTGCCTGGGCGGGGAAGACAAAAGTCCCAATTCTGAGCCTCAATTACAAGAAAGCCCCTGAATACCCATACCCGTATGCGCTAAACGAGTGCTACGACGTCTATCATACCATTGTCAGCACGTGTGGCCGTTGCTTGGGTCTCAGTGGACGGACGCAGCCCCGGATTGTAGTCACTGGTGACAGTGCTGGTGGGAATCTCGCCGTGGGCACAGTCCTCATGGTTCTGCAATCTGGAACCACTGATGCTCCCAGATGGCAAGGCGAGAACGTGTTGCCACGACCGGAAGGGCTAGTGCTGGCATACCCTTCCTTGAACATGAGAGTTGAGAGCTGGATGACAGAAGAGCAGATGTCGTTGATTCAGGACAAGAACACGCGACAGACGAATCGGAATGTTCTGCAGAGAAAGAATATGGATTATCAGAGGCTGACACCGTTTGCTTCACCTGGCCCCTCTGCCGAAGACCTGGGACAGGACTTCTTGATTGATGCGGACTTGGAGGCGAACAACCTGGCGGAGAAAGCTTCGAAAAGAATGGCAGAGAAGCTGGGCCAGGATAATCTGGTATCGCAGACAGCTGCCCTTGCTGAAAATCAGCCAAAGCAGATTCGAACCCGCCTAGCCGTTTCGTCAATGATCTCCTACGTCCACGATCGAATCTTGACTCCGGAGATGATGAGAGCCATGATCATTCTCTACATTGGCTCGCACAATCGGCCGGACTTCAGCACCGATTTCCTCCTATCACCGGTTCTCGCCCCTGAAAGCTTGCTCACGAGATTCCCCAAGACATATATTATTACAGGGGAACGGGATCCACTTGTCGATGATACAGTCATCTTTGCCGGGCGTTTACGACAGGCCAAACTACAGCAGTTTCGGGAAAGACAGGAGCTAGGACTTGAAAAGTCCCACCGGGCGTTCAACGAGAAGGACCACGTGGAGGTCTCCCTTCTTCCCGGCGTGTCACATGGATTTCTCCAGATGGCCGGGTTCTTTTCCGAGAGCTGGAAACACATCAACCGGTGCGCGACGTGGATCAACGAGCTATTTGACACGTCTCGAGCCGAGAAGTCGACATCAACTTTGCTCCAGTCGCTGTATGATAATCCCACGGTTTACAAGACTTTGACGGCAGAGGGCATGGATGGAGCTAGTCCCCGAAACCACAAGCGCAGCTTGACTGGAGAATCCTCAGCGGACGAAGACCGTCCACTAGAGATGGGCGTGGCGAGGATGACTCCTTTGGCGACAGGATGCGCTAACAGAGGGGGCGGTGAACCGTTGCAAGGTAAGATCGATGACTCGCCTGATGACACCTTCCGGGACGGAATCTATTCCGTCCCTGAGGTCAAGTCTCCTATGGCCGATGGCCGCAAAAGAAGTGCGTCCAGAGGACGAACACCACGGTCTGGCCTTGGAGGAAGACGACATCTGGCACCAAATACGCTTATCCTGCCCCTCTCTTCCGCGAACCTGCCGGACGATCTCGAGAGCCCAGTCCAGATACACAACCGGGAGCGAAGCCTTCATAGTTTACCCAGCCATGAGGATCTTCTGGATCGTCGCATGAATGGGTTAGCGGGCGGGTTGATGGGAATCGGGGAGGGAGCGCAGACGCCGTGACGAATGATTGCCTTAAGATATTTTTTTTTCTTTTATGCATTACGATACCATGGTTATCTGGATAGAAGGGGGACATGTTTTTTTTTCTTTTTTTTTTTTGGCAGAGTAACAAGGACATTGGTTGAGACATAGGTAGAATTGTGTGTTTACATTGAAGTTACAACAAAGCATGTATCTGAAGATAACCCATGGCATGTGAAAGTCAATTTGAATGTGACTGTGGGCCCAACAGATCTTCATGTGATTGTGGATTCTTTTGCTCATTCTTACTCAGCCCGGAAAATAATAATACATAGTATGTCCATTGTCCCTTCATCAGACAACAGAGTAGAAAAGCATCATCCTCCCTGGGGATATGTCCTTCATATTCAGTTATCCTGGAGTTTCTTGTTTCAAATGACCCGAACCAAGGATCATCCGCACACAAACAGTCAAGTGTCTATTGTTGATTGTCTAATGATCATGAATCCATGATCTTTCTAATCTGCTTCGAAATTCCATCTTCGGGCCGCTGAGTGATAGATGGATGGGTATCCACCGATCCTCCGGTGGAAATCGCGTGGTCGCTCAATTGACAATAGACCGATGCATGGCTCTGCTACTTTACTTGCACATAATTGATGAACGTTTGGGCTTCAGCCCTGCGAGGAGAAGGACAGTGCCAGTTGCAACTTGCAAGTTTGCAACCGGGGGGGTTTTCCGTATCTTGGCCGTGAATTAACTTTACTTTGTATGTAGTTCAGTAATCATCCTGGTAACTAGAAGTGCTCGGTAGGCGGCAGTCCTCTGTATCTACTCCGTACTACTAGATACAATCAGTAATCAACCCACCCAAACCAACGCTAGACAACATGCCTCGGCAACCCGAGAGTCTTTTCTGCCTTCTGAACCAGGCGGCGCTGAAATATGGATCCAAGCCACGTTTAAAATTCACGAATCCATTGTCGCAGGTCCAGTACTGGGCTGGAATCTGGATAGTAGTCTAGATAGGTAGTTATCTAGTCTACCTGGAAAAGAGAGAAATCTTTGCAGTGATCACGCCCGGTATCCACTCGGCACAAATGACGATTCCACGCCCGACGGAGTTCATCGCATCGTGGCGCCCTGGGAACCTTCAGGGATTAGGTGATCACCAGGTCCTGCGGTCTTGGCCGGATGGCGCCATGCTATTTCTGGCCCTTGTGCGGATGGTTATGAAGACTCGAGATGGATATGGTCCTGGCCTAACGTGTTGGGGGTTCGATGGAGAGGGGGCTTTAAAAGAAGCTGGCTCCGTGCTTGGTTTTTGTTTTCAATTTTGGTTCTGGTAGATATATTACACTGTGTTTCTCCCCCTTCTCGACGATAGCATCCCCGTTAAGAACGTGAAGGGATTAAAGTTTTGATATACGACGATCAGAGGTCTACAGTCGGTTTGCAGCATACGATATGACGGTCGAGAAGTATGTCGACTTCAGTGGTCCCGATGACCCTCTCAACCCTCTCAATTGGCCGATGAAGAAGAGGTATGTTTGTTTGGATCTACGCTCCTCAGCATGAAGGAGGACTGACTCGATGGCTATAATCAAATCACAGAGTATACATCGCGGCCATACTGGGTCTCAGCACGATGGTTGTGGCCTTCGCCAGCAGTATCTACTCTGCCGCCATGCCCCAGTTGATGATGATATATGGCATCAACAGGGAGGTAGCCACGCTCGGCATATCCCTCTACGTTTTTGGCTTCGCATTCGGCCCGTTACTCTTCGGCCCCTTTTCGGAAATGAAGGGCAGATACTTGCCCCTCGTCATCGCCATGTTCGGCTTCACGGTTTTCTCGTTCGCAACCGCCGTCTCGAAAGACCTTCAGTCCTTGCTCATCCTTCGATACTTCACCGGCTTCTTCGGCTCGGGCCCTCTCACCCTGGCCAGCGCCGCGTTTGCCGATATATTTGCGCCGCAGCAGCGAGGCATCGCCATAGTGATGTTCAGCTTGATGGTGTTCATTGGTCCTCTCGTCGCCCCCTTCGTGGGAGGCTTCACGGTGATGAACCATTCGCTGGGCTGGCGCTGGACGGCATATATCCCAGGTATCCTGGGCGGTGCGGTCCTCCTGCTCCTCGTCGTATTCCTGGAGGAGACATACCAGCCTGTCATCCTGGTTCAAAAGGCCGACCGTTTGCGCCGCGAGACGGGCGACTGGTCCCTCCACGCCAAGCACGAAGAATTGCGCCTTGACCCCAAGACCATCCTGACCGAATACCTGGCCTTGCCGCTGAAGATGCTGGTCTTCGACCCCATCGTTCTGTGCATGTGCGTCTTCGCGTCCTTCGTGTACGGCCTGCTCTACCTCTTCCTCACCGCATACCCGATCATCTTCCAGCGCATCCACGGGATGAACCCCGGAGTGGGCGGCCTCCCATACTTGGGAGTCATCGTCGGGCAGCTGCTGGGCGCCGTCGCGATCGCAGCAACTCAACCGTGGATCCTGCGCCGGCTGGAGGAGACCGGCGGCGTGATGATGCCCGAGTGGCGTCTTCCTATCGCGATCCCCGGTGCTGTCGCTTTCTCTGCTGGGTTGTTCTGGCTGGGATGGTCGGGGTACAAGCAGAGCATCCACTGGATTGTACCGACCCTGTCGGGACTGCTGACCGGATTTGGGCTGTTGACTATGTTCCTGCCCTCACTGGCCTATTTGGTCGAAGCACGCCCACAGAAGTGAGTATCTGGGTCCGGAACATACATAGCAAGGACAGAGACTAACGTTAACTGTTCCCTAGGGCGGCGTCGGCGGTTGCTGCACATACATTTATGCGCTCGGTGGCGGGAGGCGTGTTCCCCCTGTTTGCGACATACATGGTCAGTCAATTTTTCCTCACATCAACCCCTCCCTCTTGTAACAGGCCGCTGACTAGAATTGCAGTTCGATGGACTCGGCGTGGAATGGGCCTGCACGCTGCTAGGCTGTGTGGGAGCATTGCTGATTCCCATCCCCTTGCTGCTGTACATCTACGGCGCGCGGATCCGCAATATGAACAAGCTGGCTGCTTGAGCTTGAGCCTTCAAAGGCTTGGTTGATATGCACTTTTGACGATAATAACCATGACGGCCTCAACTTTACTCTATAGACATATATACTCTAGATCACTAATTTTATGATTCCCCACTTTTGTCAATATATCTTCACTACAACTGGACCTGCGCTGCTGCACATATCGCATACATCAAGGATAGTAGTCAATTGACTTCTGCCTTTTATCAATTTCTTAATTTCCACAGATCGTGTCCCTCATCAAATCAGACAGGAAGTGGGATGATCGAGCAGTGCAGAAATCAGAGCACTTCCCCCCTGACGCTAACACGGCTGATCATCCCTGAAGCCTCTTGAGTCTTGACCCTCAAGGCCTCGACGGCTTAGTCTCATCAGGGAACCAAGCGAAAAAAAGAAAAAAAAAAAAATCAAAACAGCGTATCAAGCGCAAGAGCAGATAATCACCCCTACTTCCTGGGCGAAGCTCTATTATTTATACTGATTTCGATCAATTAGACTCGCGCGAACGCACGGAGCGGTCAAGCTGCTGCCCACCTGCCTGCCTGCCCCAGCCGTTGCGGGTCACCATCCATGGGCTCCTCAGTGCGACAAGAAGAGGCTAGTGGAAACTCCTATGACTGCGTCGCTTGTATAACACGGTTTCTTGCTTGCACTCAAACGCCTATCCCTCCCTTCCCTCCCTTCCCTCCCATCTCAATCCGATCCGATCGCAGTTCCACTCAATGCATTGTCGCTAGGTCTGCTGGGGGGGGGGAGGAAAGGACTTTTCGGAACCGGCAATGGCCTCCCTGAATGATGCGTATACGCTCGCTGGGCTGGAACACCCCGACGAGCCTGTTTTCGAATATATATCCAGGAAGATTCCTCTGCCTGGATCTTGATGGACGACCAGTCAGCTGGTGCTCAACCGACTAGATCTGCTACAAGGCGGATAGTGATATGCAGACACATTTGTCGTGGGGGTTTTGTTCGGCGCCTGCTCTGACTATGAGCGCCGGCGTTCTATGCTTGTACTTGTGGTTCTATTTGAATCCGACTGGTTTTTCTCATCTTCAAGTTTGAAGCTCCAAAGTCGAAATATAGTATGGAAATGGTTATCTACCGGGTAGATAGGCAGATAGCTCGACGTACCCACCCTGGATGAGGATGATGATCACTCAGAGGCATGCATGCATGTGCGGTGTGTATGTACTCCGTACAGCATCCTTGGCGCAGATAGCAGGTGTGTTGGTTTTTTTCTTTTTCTTTTTTTTTTTTTTTTTATTTATTCATTTCGCAACGATGCAGGGCAATTATGAAGAAGGGAAGGGGAGCTATTACAACAAGATACTGGTAAATACTTCTGCTTCTGTCCGACTTGATTTGTGAAGAAGCAACGGGACTGGCGGCAGGACACGTCGATGGGCTGCTCCTGCATGCCATGCCAGCGCCCAACGAGGGGCTCTACATATTTCCCATGTAGCGTGAAGTAAAGAGCTATAGGTAGGTAGGATTTACAGTAGTAGTTAAGACAAGACCGGGGGATATGAAGCAGGTCGGCCGAGCTGACGGATTGGGCACTGAAGTGTACTATGTACTTCTAGTCTAGGTATAATAAGTATAATAGGTAACTCTTGCAGTTCTTATCCTCGCGTAGAGTCATCGACTCACCTCACTCATACATGATAGTCAGTTAGAGAATACATACTACATACTACATAGTCCATACTAGCTCCACTTCCCCGCTGCCATGGCGGCCCCGTTTCAGTGATTCATTCAGATTGTCCGCTTTTAATCCAGCCGAAGCGAATCCATCAAACTAGCACTGTTGCTTCTTCCGTGATTGGCTTGCCGTGGTGTTGTTCAAGGTAAGGACGTAAGGTAGTCTACTTTAGTCTCCATCTTCCCTGTAGTAAGGACCAAGAAAATCTGTATCCAGTGGAGCTGTCGAACTGTCGCATGTCGTTGTTTTTCTTTTTCCCTTTTTTTCCCTCCGCGCTCTTCATCGCTCACCGTTTTCTCAGCTTTCTCTTCCTCCTCCCCACCACCAACAACACCAACACCAACACCAACAATAACAATCACCTCGTCTTTCATCATCCGCTGGGCTTTCCTCTCTCTGCTTGTTCTTTTTTTTTTTTTTTATCGGATAAATGCTTGATGATAGTTCTTTGAATATCCTCTCTATCACCAGCGACTGAGTGCAACCTTACATCCATCACCCTGCCACACCCTCATATAGCATCAGCCACCCGCAAGCTAGACCGCGCAGCCTCTAGCCTAGCTCGAAGTTTCCCACCGCTGTTTCTCAATCCTTGCGACAGAACCAAAAAACAAAAAACAGAGAAAGAAAAAGGAAATCTTCCTTCAGAGGACGATCTCCCACGATGATGGATCTTCAAAAGTGCCCTCCTCAATATTCATCGCTCTTCGGCGCCTCACACGACCCTCGTGCCGCTCCGCAGCCACCGCCTCCTCCCTACAGCGGTCCGGTTCCTCAACAAGCCTATTATTACGACTCCCTACATCGCAGTCAACCCCCGACGACGATGGTTTACAGCTATCCCACCCGCGTGTCGTCCGCTCCCTCGACTCCGTATAGCATTCCGATGCCGCTGCAGATGGAGAACGGCGGGTATCCAGTATCGCAGGCGGCGAACCATGGTTTGCCCAAAAAGCAGAATCATGGCAGACACACGAGTAGTACGACAGTGATGAAGGACTACAACCATCGGCCAAGTCACGATCGCAGCGACAGCCACGACTATATCTATCGCGAAGGTATTTGATTCTCATTTTTCTTTTCTCACGGAGCGTGTCTGTTTTCTTTCCTGCTGTTTTTGAGCCTTGGTTTTCTCTTTCCGTCGTTCCTACTTCCACTGTTCTCGGTGTTGCGGTGAGCAAAGCTGGACGCCTTGTGATGATCCTGGCACCGCGTAAAGCATCATCATCATCATACTCCATCCTGGAGAATCCTGCCCGGGAGGGCACGTACCCCTGTACTACGCTTCTGCGTTGGGGGCCTACTCCAATCTCCATACTGGACTGTCCCCCTTCTGTGCAACCTGTACCTGTCAGGCAGTACAGAAGTACTACGAGTGGATAGCCAATCACAAGCCCCTGCAGCCGCCGCGTCTGTGGCGCCTGATCGACTTGTTCCAGGCGACAGCTCGGCTCGGGAGCGCTAGTCCTCTCTGGGGCTAGTTCCCTGACTCAGGATCCCCCTTGCTGAACAGGGACTAGCGTAAGGCCAGCTCCCTTCCAGGCCCAGAGTCACGGGTTCAACCGCCCCAGAGCTGACGGAAAGCAACTTTGGGAGTTTTTGGCGTCTCAATCATAATAGTCAGATTCATCGGCTGCCGACTATCTACCTAATACCTAGACTAAACGATCTGCATTTCCTATCTCTTCCCCTTCCCTTCTCGACTCGACTCTATCTATCGATCTCTCCCCCTTGGGTTGCGCGTCACCCACCATCCCTTTTTCCTTTCCTTCCTTCTTTTCTTCCTTTTCTCGTCATCTCACATTCCTCTGTTTTTCTTTCATTTCTTTTTTTTTCTGCGTGCGACATGAACCCCCCTCGATCGCACGACCAGGGTCGTCGGAGGTCTTTGGGCAGCAGCGGCACTCCCATGTTTTCTGGTGCGTTTGCCATCCACGCTCTCGATCCAGTCAGGCTGCGACGGATTAAGTGATGTCCCTGTTGCGTTCTCCATCTCTGCCTTAGTTTCCATTGATGTGCTTTTTCTTCCCTTCTTCATCGTCCTTTTTGTTTTTTTTTTTTTTTTTCTTTTCTTTTTTTTTTTTTGTTTTTTGCTGTTTTGTTTCCTGTGTTTGATCGCCTTTTGCTTACGCGCCTGGCTAACTCGGACTTACCGCGACTGAACAGGTCCACAAGACCAATCATCCGTGTCGAGTGCCTTAGGATCTCGTCGAATGCCGCCCCCTTCTCCTCCGCCACATTATGCATCACGAGCGCAGTCGGGAAATTCATCGCTGCCTACTCCTTTCATGTCGCGTGAGCCTCCAAACAATCTGGCTCATCATCGTCTCGGGAGCAGCATGTCGATATCCTCCATGCTTGGCTCGGACGCTGACCGACCAGCCCGGGATGTAGGCTCATCTTCCATCTATTCGCGCGTCCCAGTCACTTCCGGCCCCTTCGGTAGCGCTCCGCCCCCGTCCGCCTCGAGCGCAATGTCCCCTCCCACCGCGCCAGCTCGACCCTCACAGCTCGACTATCCCTTGTTCCGCCGGTCACAAACTCCGGAAACGTCCTTCGCAAAGGCCCAATCTGGTCGTGCGTATCGTGCCGGCGCGGGAAGCGTCTCTCAAGCTCCGTCGGGCCCCGAGCCATCCAAGTTCGGCGGCTTGTCTCGCGGTCCCCCAGCAAACCAATATCCGGACAAGCCCAACCCTACGCATCCGTCCCCACAGCTTCATTCTGCATCGACAGAGCCCCCTTACAATGAGACGCGCCGCCTGAGTTTCAACGGTCCCGTCCCTCGCCCTAACAGCCAGCCGCAACACCTCGAACGCTCGACGCGATCGGCAGGTTATAGCCCACTTTCGCGACCGATGGGAGCCCCGGGAGCTGCCGATCACCAGCTGAGTGCAGGTCACCAGCGAGCGTCGTCTTACATGGGGCCCGAGTCACAGCACAACCGGTTTGGCAATCTCTACGGAGACCGTCACGTGGAGGAGCAGGCGCATCGGGAAAGAGAGAGAACCGTGGCTCACGAGACGGAATCGAAACCACCTCATCCCCATTCTCGATACGGCCCTCCCTATGGCGAGCGCGACGTCGCTGGAAACCGTTCATCTGCTGCAGCTGCATGGGATCTGGGCCGCTCGCAACCGCCCTCCCCGGAGACCAAGCGCTTTTCGGCGCCCGAGCCTGCTCCCGGGTTCGGATTTGGTGCCATTCAAAACTACACGAAGTCGTTGGGGTCCCAGCCCGGGGGTTCTCGACAGCCATCGTTGTCTGCGCAATCGCGACAGAGCCAGCCCACTCCATCGACTGAGCAACAACCGTACCTAAGCAAGCTACAGACGGAACCCCGCCATTTTGCCTCTGCGACCTCCGGGGGCCCGTCGTCCCTCATTCAAAATGCGTCGGCTGACGATCAGCGGCGCAAGGGCAGTGACGAGCTTCTACATCATCGAAATCTCCTGAGCATCGGCCTTGATGCCAAACGAGGCGGCCGCGCCTCACCGTTGCCTCAGGCCGTACAGGGGGCCCAAGCCCAGATCCTCGGACCTACTGGAGAAGCTGGTATCAAGAATGAGCTGGGGCGGGTGTTCTCTGGTATTGGAAGTGGTGTTGGCGGTGTCACTGCTGCGAGTGCCGGCAGTGGGTCTTCCACGCCGATGATGGCGGCCAGTCCCTTCAAGCGTGATAGCATCGCCGGTCGGTCTACCAACAGCGAAGCAACGCTGGACGAGTCTAAGATCAATCGGCCGACGTCAACTACCGGCAAGCGGTCTCGAAAATCTCGAGACGAGGATAGTAGGGCGGATGTGGAAGCGGGCGCAGATCGTGTGGGAGCGTCGGCCAGCAGCAGACGAGGCCGGCATCTTCACCATCACCACCATCAGTACGTGATTGACTGTTTCCCCTTTGATCGTGTTAATTTACTTGACATTTTCTCTGATCTCATCAAACCTCCTGGCTTCACTCGATCATATGCTAATGTTCTCAGTCACCACCATCACAGGCCTAAACCTGAAGAAGACACTGCTGCTTTGAGCGGCCCTCATCGCCCCGTATCATCTATGAATTTCTTCCATCGTACATCCACGCCGGCCGACACAGCTGCCTCTGGACCTTCACTTGGCCATCACCACCACCACCATCATCACCATCATCACCATGCACCCCGCCCCGCTGCTGCTGCCGCCAACGCCGCGGCGATGTCGCCGATGCGTGAGCCTCGGACTGTGGTCACGATTGAACCGGTAGTCTCAAGCGTTGCCCATCTTCCACGGCACCATCTCGGATCCACCCTGTACGACCCCCGAATTAGTGTGCCTACGGAGAAAGCCACGCTGGAAAGCGCCAAATTTGGATATACTACCACACCCCTTCCGATCCCTCGGTTTGAAGGGAAGGAAAACTGCACGTTTACTATTCGTGTGCCGCGCTTCCGCATTGACTCGGCTCATCGCGAGGAGATCTGTGCGCGACGTGCGCTTTGGGGCACGGGTATCTACACCGACGATTCCGATCCCGTCGCCGCGGCTGTGCATTCGGGCTTCTTTCGCGGTGCCTGGGGGCAGGAGATCGATGTGGATCTGCTCGACTTGGAGATCAAGGATAATTATCAACATGCACCGAAGACGGCGGAGGATATGGGTCTGTCAGAAGGCGAGCGAGCCCGAGTTCCGCCCCCACCCCCCTCCGACAAGGACTTGCACATCACAATCCTGATACTACCGAAGTTGGAGCGGTATGATTCCAGCGTACTTTTCGGATTGAAATCACGGTCGTGGGAAGGCACTCACGACGGAATGAGCTTCCGGGTGCTTCGCGTAGAGTGGGTTGACGAGGGTGTCGGCCGCGGCGAGCAACGCGGCGGCGAGGCTCGACGAAAGCGCTTGCGCAACCTGATGCAGTCGGGGCGGATCTGCACTGGGCCCGGTGTGATCAATTTGGATCAATTTCGCAGTGGAATCCAAGTGCCGCGACGCAAGAATGGAGTGATGGACAAGCCTGAGTCGTCTGCGCCAGTTCAGACTGTTTCTTGAGATCCCAATTTGTCGACTCAACGCTACCTCCAATGAATTTTTTTTTTTTTAAACCTTTTGTACCGGGCTCAACCAATGGCTTTGTTTTATTTTGGATGTTACTATACTATCTGCCTGTCTATAATTCGTACTACTAGCGAGGCGCGGAGTTGGGTTCATATCAATATCACCTTTGAATTCTATCTACGTACCACCGAGTCTCCGGGCAATCGTCGCGCCTTAAGTCCCATTTTGATTGGAATTTAACACATCCCTTCCACGCTCTTTCTACTAGGTATGCATCTGGGTAGCCAATTCGATTGGCCATATTGGTTGACACAAATGACAAGGTCGGATCAGCGGGACGGATGAATGGAACTCAATCATGCGACAGCGCTGCAAAGAAGGAAATGGGGGAAGTCATCTTGCTAATAGCTTCTCATTCCTCGAAAACTATTCCGTAGGGGCTGATACTTTTCGTTCAGGGAATCTGTTGGCATGGAGGTGGGCTGTGTCTGCCCCTTTGTAGTCTTCCAGATGGATGAGAGAAGTGTGGGATGTGGTACCGTACCGCTTGTTTGTTACGTATAGTTGGACGTACCATACATACATTGCTCTCACTGCACTCACTATGGCCTACCTACGCAGCTCTCCCCGCACTCAATCTCATACCGGGTGTATCCTAACTCCTAAGGTATTCCCGGCTCGGTGCTGGTAGGAGGGTTCCGATAGAACACCACCTAAGCCTGCTTGAGAGTGCTCCCAACCCGACTCAATTACAAAACTACATATACAGCTCTCCCTTTCATTTCAAACCAAAAAAAAAAAAAAAAAAAAAAAAAGAAAAAAAACCGCCCCCGGTAAATCTTCTATCATATTTAGCTTTTACTACAGAGTACCTTAGACTCCATCTGAACCGCATACTCCGATTCGCTCAGACACCTGCTGGACAATCAGCAACGGGCCGAGGTTCCTGCGCACAGCCCAAATCTGGGGGTAGGAAAGAAAAAGGATGGGAAATGGTACGGTACATGGATGGACACATACCTAGGTACGGTACCCATGTTTACCATGTCTGTACGCGGATGATACGCCGCCACGCCTGCCTCCGTGCTCCGTTCTCCGAATGCGAAGTCTGGGAGGAGACCATATTGTGGTATTGTATTTGCAGGGGACTTGGGGGATAGGTAGGTAAGGTACCTTAAGGTACCTTACCTAGGTATCTAAGGTATTGTTATTATCTGGTCACAGTCATATGCGTGGTGCATGTGGTTAGGGGTGGTGTATGTCAAAAATCTGGTTAAAATGACATAAATGTCAAATGACAAGCCATTTTCCCCCCCCCTGACAAATGACAAATACCACGTGATTCCAGTAGCCAACTAGAATTAACTAGGAGTTGAGACCACACCTTATCAAAATATATATCATTATTTGGATAGTTGTCTACCAGTATATGGTAGTTACTAACTTCCTATAGTAAAAATCATTTTCTTCAGAAAAAAAAAAGTCAAAATGACACGTCATTTTTGACATTTTGACATTTTGAATACCACCCCTACATGTAGTGCATGTTCCATATGGTCCTGTGCACTGCGGTATTAGACAGTACCAAGCAAGGACTACGGAGTACGGTATGGTATATTCCCCGCCCCGGTCGGCTGAGACCAATTTCCCTCCAGCCGAGGCAACTTGGGAACGCTTGTTTGGTGTGTCTTGAACTAAACGGGATTCATCATCATCTTCTTCTTCTTCTTCTTTCTGGATTCTCCTGATTCTCATAACTTCACATCCTTCTCCTTCCTCCCTTTCTTCTTCTCTCCCAAACTATTATACCCACTCCCTCTTTTCTTCATTCCTTTTTTCCTTTTTTCGCTTCTCCCAGCAGTTTTGACTTACAGCGAGAGGGATGTTCACGGCTGCTGCTCGAAGCCGTCTCTCCTCCACTCTTACACGGCCCCGTCTCGCTCCTACAAACTCCCTTCTTGCTCGGTCTGCAGTAGTGAGTGGCTTTCTAGATGGTGGATGAATGCAGGAATTGGTCGCTGATTGTTTGGACTCAGGCTCCCATCATGGCTCCTCGTCGCAAGGCATCTTCGGTCCCTGAGGGTGAGCAATCACATGCTCTTGTTTCGTTTTTTTTTTCTGCGTGTGAAGAGTCGAGACTGATTCCATCTAGGATACGTAGAAGATCTCTCCAAGGGCAAGATGCTCCGATTTGAAAACTCTCTCCCCCGCCTGCCGGTCCCCTCGCTGGAAGAAACCGGCCGCCGGTACCTGAAATCCGTCCACGCCGTGGTCTCCGAGGCCGAGTACGAGCGCACCAAGAAGGCCGTAGAGGAGTTCGTCCGCCCTGGTGGTGAGGGACAGCCTCTGCAGGAAAGACTGCTGGCCCGCGCCGCTGATCCCAAGATCAAGAACTGGCTCACCGAGTGGTGGAACCACACCGCCTACCTCGGCTACCGGGACCCCGTCATCCCCTACGTTTCGTACTTCTACTCATACCGGGATGATCGCGCCCGCCGGAACCCCGCCAAGCGTGCGGCCTCCATTACCACCGCGGCCCTGGAGTTCAAGCGCCAGGTCGACGATGGCTCGCTGGAGCCGGAGTACATGCGCAAGCTGCCCATGGCCATGAGCTCGTACGAGTACATGTTCAACTGCTGCCGTATCCCCGCGGAGGGCGCTGACTACGCCCAGAAGTACCCCGCCCAGGACAACGAGCACATCGTGGTGGTGCGCAAGAACCAGTTCTTCAAGGTCCCCCTGGTGGCCAATGGCGAGCGCCTGAACGTGTCCGAGCTGGAGAAGCAGTTTGAGCGCATCTACCAGATCGCCCAGCGCGCTCCACCCGTTGGCGTTCTGACCGTCGCCAACCGGGACCTGTGGACCGATGCCCGGAAGAAGCTGCTGGCAGCCAATCCCGCCAACGAGCAGGCTCTGCACGACATCGAGTCCAGCGGATTCGTCGTCTGCCTCGACGATGCCACCCCCGTGACCCTGGAGGAGCGGGCCAACCAGTACTGGCACGGCGACGGCACCAACCGCTGGTTCGACAAGCCTCTGCAGTTCATCATCAACGACAACGGCACCGCCGGTTTCATGGGCGAGCACAGCATGATGGACGGTAGCCCCACCCACCGCCTCAACGACCACCTCAACAACCTCATCTTCAACAACAAGATCGATCTCTCCGAGCAGAGTGTGCGCTCCAACCTGCCCGACCCCCGCCCTATTGAGTTCCATCTCAACTCGGAGGTGCTCGAGGCTATCGACGCGGCCCAGAAGGAGCACCGCCAGCAGATCTCCGCCCACGAGCTGAAGGTGCAGGCTTACCAGGGATACGGCAAGGGCCTGATCAAGAAGTTCAAGTGTAGCCCGGATGCCTACGTGCAGATGATCATCCAGCTGGCGTACTTCAAGATGTACGGCAAGAACCGCCCCACCTACGAGTCGGCTTCGACCCGCAAGTTCCAGGAGGGCCGGACGGAGACCATCCGGACCGTCTCTGACGAGAGCGTCGCCTTCTGCAAGGCGCAGGCCGATTCCTCGGTCTCCCGCGAGGAGGTCGTGCGCCTGTTCCGCGCCGCCCTGGCCGCGCACTCCAAGTACACCGCCACTGCCAGCGACGCCATGGGCGTTGACCGTCACCTGTTCGGTCTGAAGAAGTCCCTGCGCGAGGGCGAAAAGCTCCCCGCTCTGTTCGAGGACCCTGCCTACGCCTACAGTGGCTCGTGGTATCTGTCGACTAGCCAGCTGAGCTCGGAGTTCTTCAACGGCTACGGATGGAGCCAGGTCATTGACGACGGATTCGGAATTGCCTACATGATCAACGAGAACAGGTGAGTTTTTTTCTCCTCTCGCTCTCTCTCTCTCTCTCTCTCTCTCTCTCTTTTCCCCTACTCGATATCCAGGTGCTAACCCGTGACACAGCCTCAACTTCAACATTGTCTGCAAGCGCCTCGGTGCGGAACGCATGAGCTACTACCTAAACGAGGCAGCCTCGGACCTGCGGGAGCTGCTGATGCCCGATCTGCTTGCCGAGAGCGAGAAGGCCAAGCTGTAAATTATAGATATCCTTTGTACAGGTTTAGATTATATCCTATATATCCTATATACTGCATGAAAATTTCATGACTGTAATAGCCATCTAATCCGCCCGTAGATTATTATATTATCCAATGGTGTGTATGAAAGTCAGTAACCCCCTTCCTTCCTTCCTACCAATGTAACACAATCCCACTAGCGATGTTCATTCCTCCCCCTCCCCCCGGATCTCGACCCCTTCCAGAACAAACAACCCGTGCAGCATCCAATCCCTCCCCAGCGCGGACGAACCGGTGTCTCGTCATTGGCGATATGGAGTTATGGCAGACTGAGTGGGTCGCCGGGGGATCCGCACGGATATCAATATCAATCTGCCCGTCAGGAAGGAAACGAGTTATATCGACTGTCGAGGCTGTGTGGATCGGCTGGGTAAGAGATAAATAAGGGTTAAGGGGGTTCGGGAGGGCAGGGAGATAGTCGTCATTGAGGATCCTTGGAGAGTCTACAGAGAGCAAGTACAAGTGCAAGTTGAGACTCGTCTGTCATTTGTATCTATGTGTGTATGTATGTATGTATGTATGTAGATTTGTACCCCTTTGAATCAATCCGCATACCTAGGTATGTCGGCCATCGCTATCTAAGTAAAGTGCCGTGTATGGGCTAGTACTAACCCATTACCGCCGGGCACGCAAGGCTCGCATGCAATGCAAAAATTAAAGCAGCCTGGAAGCGATGATTCATGCATGCAACAACTGGCCATACCGGCTCTAGAACAATCCCATGTCCATGTCCATGTCCTGTCCAGTTATACCCGCATAATCTCAATGAGCAATCATGACAGGTTGTCTGTCCTGAGGCTGGATCCTGGACAACTGGCCACGCAAGACATCAAGTCTAACTAATGCATTTGAGCAATCGTGGGCGCTTTGAGGCATCGGAATGAATGCAACCACGGACAACAAGCACGTAAATAGATAAGTCAGGGTATCAACGCGCATCAGTAAGCGATGGGAAAATAAATCTCGCACCAACAATTCAAGACGCTCATCTTCTGTGGATCTGCCGTTTCTGACAGGACACAAAATGTTGATCATAAGACAGTCCGAGAGAATTAAAATTTGTAATTTCCAAAGAGCAAGGGAAGAATATCCTACGGTGCATCGGTGCCTTGGTGTTGTTACCATCAGGTCTTGTTACTTGTTAGTGGGCTCCTGGGCCGATTCTCCACCGGCAGATGCATGAGGATCGGCAGCTTCGGCCCCTTCTACAGCAGGTGGCGCAGTCTGCTCCGGTCGGGCATCCGACGTGGTCAGTTCACTAACTTGTCGTTCTATCGTCGTGGTTAGCATTTGACTTTCGTAAGCCCCGAGCGTCCGTAGCACGAGGGCATATTGGGAGAGAAAGTTTTCGGAACGGAACGTGACACAGCCGCACGGATGGACCAATAAGAGTAATCAGGCAGGAAAGATGGGTGGGGGGAAAGCGCATACCTAATTCACGGATACGCTGGCGGAGCATCTGGTTCTCGCGATTCAACATGGATGCCTCCGCCTGATAGAATGCCGTCTCGTCCCTGCTACCACGCCGGGACGACGTCTCACTGGTGCCCGCGCCCCAATCCAAGCCCTCCATGCCGCGGGAAGAATCGATCGACGTTCCATGCAGGGAAGCAGAAGGCAGTGGTCGAAGACTCGGGGAGGCCGCTTGGCTAGAAGGCCGCGATACTCGGTGACTGGACAGTGATGAGGGGAATTGCGTGGAGGTTCGGCCACTAGCAGCTGCAGCAAGCGGTGGTATAACAGGGAAGGATCGTTCGGAAGGTGGAGTGGAATCCTCGACCACGGCGATACCCGACTGCTGGTGCTGTTGCTGTTGCAACTGTTGCAGCTGTGTCTGTTGACTGCGTATCATCTGCAAGAGACGATTCTATACTCAATCAGTACCCAGAGTTTTATTTCCAAAATTCATCGATGTTTGCTGGGGTAGCCAAAGTATTAGGATGGTGCCATACCACTTGCGCTTCTTGCTCCTGCTCCAGTTCTTGGTGAAGTTCCCCTAGAGACGGAGTCCGTTGATGATGCGGATCGGCCGTGGCAAAGATCGGGCTGCCCCCGATCGTGGGACTCGCTGTGCGAAATGCATGACTCAAGGAGGAGCGATGATCAGGTGAGGGGAAGTCACCGGCGGACGACTCGCTCAGATTCGGGTTCGTGGGCCGACGATGTTCAGAAATAGACAGCCTTGTACGAGGGGACGCGCGTGAAGACCGTCGAGACAGATCCGAGGCATTGGCATTGTTATTCATGGTGGTCGATGATACAGGGGAGACGCCTGACAAGATATCGGAAGAGGCGGGGACCGTCCGTGGTGGACGCGGGGAAGAGGGGGAACGAGATGGTGGAAGAGAGTTGAGATCAGGAGGCATGCCGTGGCTTGGAACTAGGTGAGGCTGCTCCCAGAAGAGAGAAACAGAGACGATAGGCTATGGGGACGACGACAAACGATGACAGAAGATGATGTTAATGATGATGAGCTCTCTTCCTGAAGGTTTGCGGGAGTTCAGGTCGACTGGCAACAATGATGTAGGAAAGAGCGCAGCCTCACTTAGTCAGAGAGACCATCCCTGATCAAGCTTGCTGCGCCACAGCGTAACCAGATCTGGCTCCAGCTTAGGGCATACATTTAGGGTTCGTAACAGCCACAGCTCCGATCTCTCTGGTGGAGGCAAGCATATTCCCTATGTACATTGCATGACCCTGTATACGTGGCATCTGTCCAGAGGACGATGGGTGTAAGATAGAGAGCTAGGTAGTACTTAATGATACAATTCGAGGGATAGGTAAGCAACAGCACACTAAGCTACACCCAAACATGACTACAATGGTCAAAACTACCCTCGCGAAGCCGACGATCAGGGGCCTGAGATTACAGGAACTAGGGAGAGAAGGTTACAACTAATCTGCCGGAAAGTTTAAGAATCGCTCAACCTTGCCTGAGAGATCAACCGCCACATGACTTGGATCAGGCCGGCGGTGAACTTCGAGAAAGCTCGATGCGTCTTTTTATTGAGCCGGCTGGAGTCTGAGATATTCGACTTGGATTCAGCCACAATACCACCGTAAATCACGGTATCATTATCGGTTGACGATCTGGAGCAGCCTCTGTTGATGAAGTTCAGACAAACTGACTCGAGTCGTCTTGGTGAAAGTCACCTCAATCATGGATGTGGTAGAAGACTGAACCCGAGTCTGCCTAGTTAGCGAAGCTCTGCGTGGCACAACACCACAGAGGAAGCGCTCCGGAATACATTTGCTGATGTAGGAGAGCTCATGCTAAAGTATAGTTGTGCGAACCTATTGCTAAGGACGGGCGACAGGGAAGCAAATGGCCGATTTGCCTTTACCGGATAGACCGGTCAGTCCTTGAAAACTAATGTGCATGCGATAATTGCTCAGTCTTCCTTTACTGAATCAACAGAGGGGGCCGTGAGAAACCAATCGGTTCCACTGCTATCCAACCTTTCTATCAATGCATGTGTAAAATTCTGACAGTCATCCACACTGCAACATTCGACACAGACAAATCGTCTTTATCTTGGCTCCAGGCAAGCTCCAGGCAATAAGGCTCGATAGAAACAGCGGTAAGTTTGACTCTGTGCCGGATCCAGCCGGGAAGTGCTTCCAATACCGAATCTGGCCTAGTGCCAGAGCCAAGACCCGCAACCAGAACAGCCAACCAGAGACTCGCTGGCTGGAAGCGTCGATCAGGCAGAAAGCTTGAGCCTGAGTCCACCATGACACGGCTGACGGCAAGAAGGTAAGCGTTGGGCCTAATCCACGTGACCCTCATCGATCTGCTTACCTCGCCTCGTGGCGTGGACACGGGGAATGTTGATGTGAGGGGTCAGATGCAATCGAATGTTCTCCAGATCCAGAGATGCAATCACAAAACGTGAAGTAGATGGAGACCGGAGGAATGGGAGTAAGGAAGGAGTATGGGGCAACGTGGTCGAGATTGTTTTGTTCCAGACTCCGTTCAACATATGCATTCGAGTCGAATCATACGCCAAGCCAACGCTCAGTGGAAAAAAGGAAGCCTGGGTTCAAGCCATTTCTTGTTTCCTTGCCGAGAGGGGATCAAGCAACTGATTGCGCCCCGAGAGCAGATCATTACTTGGCGACGAGTCTCGACTGGGAGATTTGGTGATGTCGCACAGGCATCCCATCTAGGTGAATTTACCTCTTAGGTTTGGGAGCACACAATCCGGGGTTATCCTGGATAGGCCTTGGTACGGCATCTCCCCATAAAACGTCTGGGAGGAGATGTACTTGAATCGGGTACGAATTGGACTGAAAGAGAATGACAACAATTTGATCGGGGGGTTATGGATGATTCATTGCCCCAGTGGCCCACACGACCCATTGAAACGTCACCTTCAAGCGAGACTTGAGAATACTACATCGATCGGGGCCATGTTATAGTCAGAAAAAGCCTCTGACATCTCCATGTAGACGAGGATCCTGGTCAACCGGGCTGCCTCTGACGTTCGGAATTAGTAGAGACCATATAGCCAGGTATAGGCGGCAGGACGATGTCAGCAACTCTTCGAATATGAATGAATGACTAAAACCGACGTCGCGGGAGTCCAGGTTTCTGGTCTGTGATGACGATCGTTGTTAGTGGGAGACTGTTAATTTGTTAGTAGCTTAGGACTATGGAGTGACCACGGACTAAGGGGGGGGAAAAAAGGAAAAACGAAACAGAAAAACTGACGTCATTCACGGTTACCCCGAACACAACTACAGAGCGGGCGACTTTTGCTTTGTACACATTCACCACTGAAGTCATCCTTGATCTGCCCTTGGATGCGTAAGTTGTAAATTGTAATATGACCATTTGCGAATCATAACCTAGGGATCGTGTGGTTGGAAGATCACTGTTTAGCCGACCGCCTCGGGAAGCCACGCCAACAATAATTCTAATTTCTATCCTATGAGTACGGTCGGCAGTGTGTCCCGACTCCTTGCGTCAATACGGGCAGTCTGACCCTAACAATATTTGACAGTCAGTCAATATAGAGAACAGTAGTCTAGATCCAGAGTGAGCCAGTTGTGCTTGCAAATGAGACCAACGCTGCAGTAGAAAATACCTTGTCTCCTTCAATGCCATCCCATGGCTTCGTTTCCCGAAGCGGGCATTCCTGAAGCTGTCTCTCGGTCGAGAGCGGCTTCTGCAGTGGTACACTCTCCGGGCTCAACACTTAGCTATGGGCTAGCCGTGACTAAAACACTTGAATTCCGAGTGGAGTAGCCTGAATCTTATCCTGTTGCGGTCATCGTCCGTGTTTTTTTTCTTTTTTTCCTGCCCATGGGGAATCCCATCGCCGTTTGCCGCTGGGTCAGATGACAAGAAAAAGACACTGAGTCGATCGTCAAGAGATTAGAGCGTTCCATCCGGGCACAATTGAGGAAGGAGACACACCCTGCCGGCGTGGCGAATGGGCGAGAATGCTCGTTCTGATTTGGCATCCGGCTGCGTCCATAGTCCAACCATAGTTCAATGTCTTTTGCTTTCTGACTGCAGTGCTTTGATGGAAATCATTGCATATTATGCACACAATGGGGCTAGTCTGTTTTCGACAAGATCAGAATGAGGTTCGATGATGATCTTATATAAAATAGAAAAATAAATAAAAAGAAAGAGGCAAAGCGTTGGAAAGTGGGAAAGATGGGAGAGAGCCTACCACTGGCTGTCCTGCGATACTACTACCACGACTACTATTATCCGTTCTATACCACAAGTGAGACAAAGTGAACAAGAACAGAGAGAGTTCACGACTACCCCGTATTGGCTTTCCCCGGGTGTTTATCATTGGAAGGGAAGTAAAAGTGCAGGCACCAAAAGTGGGCGTGGATCCATGGGAGTCTACGTGAGATCGAGTAAGAACTAAGAAGTGAAGTACTTGAGGTAGCATCAGTGATTTCCCCATACTTTCCCTTTCTGGGGTCTGCCTGCCAGAGCCTAAGTATTTTATTTAGTATTATTGAGTCCCTACAAGACTGTTGTTTTTCTCTGCTTGACCACGTTCTTCTTCCTTCCCTTTTTTCTTCTTTCTCTCACTCATCTGCTTTCTTCCTCACATACCTACTCCATACCTCATTCTTCTCTTGACCATCTCACCCTTCCTGCTGTTGATCAAATACTTCTGCTCTCTTGTCACCATCACTGCTACTTGCTTGGTCTGAAGGCTCAACACTTCTCATTGCAGTGCGCCTGTTCTGCTGTGTTACTCTGCTCACCACACAACTCTCATCGATCACATACTGCCTTGTTTGTCTTTGCTAGTCCTGCAACAATCAAACAGCTTCCATCTCCCCTCTTTACAGTGAGTCGATCGACCCCAAGGCTGTTTCTATATTGTCTTCTGATTTGTGTCCTTGCCCAGAGGAGATTGATAACAGGCTACGACAAAATGACTGTGGCTCCAGAGCCGTCTGACAGGGTCATGCAGATAGAAGATACCCGGCTCCATGAGTCAGAGCCCTCTTCTTCATCTCATACAGATCCCAACATTGATTTGCTCAATGAAAAGCCAGAGGCCTATACTAAGGAACAATCCAGCGGGAAGGTCGAGCTAAAGGAAGTCGACTGCTACGATGAGTTGGGATACTCCTTTCCCAACTGGAGGAAATGGCTGATCATTTCGGTGATCTTCCTCGTTCAGGTTTCCATGAACTTTAACACGAGTCTGTACTCGAATGCGCTCACCGGCATATCTGAAGAGTTCGGTGTCAGCATGCAGGCTGCCCGTTGTGGTGCCATGATCTTCCTGGTTCTCTATGCGTTTGGCTGCGAACTCTGGGCTCCCTGGAGTGAGGAAGTCGGACGCAAGCCGATTCTGCAAGCGAGTTTGTTTCTCGTCAACATCTGGCAGCTGCCAGTGGCGCTCGCTCCCAACTTCGCGACAATCTTAGTCGGACGAGCTCTAGGTGGTCTGAGTTCCGCTGGTGGATCGGTCACTCTGGGAATGATTGCCGATCTGTGGGAATCTGATGACCAGCAGTACGCTGTCGCCTGTGTTGTCTTCTCCTCGGTGGCCGGCTCCGTCATTGGCCCTGTGGTTGGAGGCTTCGTTGAAGAGTATCTCCCTTGGCGGTGGAACATCTGGATACAGCTCATCTTCGGAGGCTTTGTGCAAATTGCGCATTTGATCATTGTTCCCGAGACCCGTACCACCATCATGATGGACAAGATCGCCAAGAAGCGCAGAGAAAGCGGCATTGACCCCGACGTCTATGGACCCAACGAGCTTGTTCCGTTCAGAGAGCGGTTCTCCATGCGGGAGGTCCTCGTCACCTGGATCCGCCCCTTCAAGATGTTCTTGACCGAACCAATTGTCCTGACCTTGTCCTTGCTCAGTGGATTCAGTGACGCCCTGATCTTCATGTTCATCCAGTCTTTTGGCCTGGTCTACAAGCAATGGGGCTTTGGCACTGTTGCCCTCGGCCTGTCCTTCCTCCCCATTCTCGTGGGTTACTTCATCGCTTGGTTCTCGTTCATCCCCGCTATCCGACGCAACACTGCCGAACGACGGGCGAAGCCCCATGATGAGCGCGCTCAATACGAATCCCGTCTCTGGTGGCTGCTTTACACCGCCCCCTGCCTGCCCATTGGCTTGATCGGCTTTGCTTGGACCAGCCTGGGTCCTCCCGTCCACTGGATTGGCACTATGGTCTTCTCTGCGATTGTTGGGATTGCCAACTACAGTATCTACATGGCCACCATTGACTACATGATCTGTGCCTATGGTCCTTACTCTGCTTCAGCAACTGGTGGAAACGGATGGTCTCGGGATTTCCTGGCTGGTGTCCTTACCCTCCCCGCCACGCCCTTCTTCCAGAGTCAGTGATTCATTCCCCGCGTACCTCTCTTCTTTAAACATACAGTGGCTAACGAACAATCTTTCCAGACATTGGTGGCAAGTATCACCTGGAATATGCATCCACCATCCTGTGTAAGTTCTTGTCTTTCTGTTATCAGTGTTCCTCTCTCTGTCAAAGACTAACCGTATCCGCCTCTAGTCGCCATTTCGTTTGTGCTTGTTGCTGCGGTCTATGCTATCTACTATTATGGTCCAGTACTTCGCAAGCGCTCTCCCTTTGCTCAACAACTATCCGATGCTCGGCAAGAAGTCGAAGTGCATGGTCGGCGTCTGTCTCGAATCCCGTCTGGCTCCCGGGCGAACTCCCTGGCCCGATCACGCCAGGATCTCCGGATTCGCCAGGCTACCGGAAGCCGCCAGGGTAGTTATATCGCATCTCGCAATACTTCCCGCGCCAACTCCCGGGTTAACTCACGCCGGAACAGTTTCGTCGAGCTTGCAAGCCCATGATCGCCCGGCCTGGAGCCAGTGGGTTAGACAGAATGGGGTGGGCGCATATGCGTGATCTTCCTGTGCCTCCAAGCTTGATTCCCGGCGGTCGAATAATTCTCTCTATCGCTTTGAAGCCAGTTTCACTTCTTTAGCAGGGCCGGTCTTTGCGCTTTCTATTTTCTTCTGGAGGTGTTTTCCCTTTGTCCTTTTTTTTTTTTTTTTTTTTTTTCGCTTCATCCCCCGTCTGTGGTGGAAGGCCGGGATGCTACTGTTCGGTCTGAGTGAACTTGCGTCGGCTCATACTATCTTGATGGCCTCTTTAAATTTTCTGATTTGCGATTTCTATGAGATTCGAGCATGGCTTACCTTTTGGGGTTCCTGGAGTTTAAATGTCTTTTAGCATGGTTCTGCTGTTCTCTTGCTTTGCCTATGTTGTCCGCCCTGTGAGTGTTGCTTAAGCCCGTCTGGACGACTGCCCTCGGCGAATAAGTCCACGGCTCCATTGTCCGTTGGCTTATGGATAGCGTAGACGAGCTAATGATTTTACCTGATTTAATTGATTGATTTTGTCCTCAACAGTAGAGTCGATAGATACGGTAGCACACTGGGTCAACCCGGATGGGTGTGATAGTCGCATTAGGGCTCTGGACTCCGATTACGGTTTGTGCAATGACTGTTCTAGTAGTTGACTAGTGGTGTCGGGATGACAGGGCGGTGGTACGACGGTGTAGCGTTCCGGGAACCAACGGCTCCAACATGGTACCTCATCTCAACTCTCGTCTTGTTTGGAGCTGGAGAGTTTGACTTTTCAAGCCGGGGAGAACGGAAGACCGGATGCAGCCGGCTAGAATGAGCTGTGGGCGCGGAAGTGACTTCCTAAGTATGGACCCTTTGGATCGCATGATCACGCGAGAATCTCTGGAGTGGCCGAGTGCGGAGGAGGGAGATTAAAAGCGCGGAGAGCAGATGCCCGAGTCTAGAGGACGGAGGACCGCAATCTGGATCTGAATCTAGATCTAGATCTGGATCTTCTCGAACAACTTGAATTGGGGGATCTAATATTATTACAAAAGTCGCGGTCGCAAGCACGGTCTGTTTTCATTTTTCCTGATTCGGCGTGGAATTGAAGCCTTTTTGGGTGGGGGGGAAGCTGATTTGTAGAAAGTTTACCTAAAGTACGGAGTACATACATACCTTTTTTTGCAGCTGTAGCTGTAGCTAATAGCTATAGCTGTAGCTGGAGATTGAGATTTGAGATCATGCGATGATGGACTGGTATCACGTGATACTTCCCGGTCCTGAGATTCCAGCTCCCAGTCCTAGTATCATCATCATCAGTCGCGGACGGGGATAACAATCCACCCAAACTACTCTCTCTCCCCCCCCCCACCTTCCGCTGCATAGAAGATTTTTATTTTTATTTTTATTTTATTTTGTCCCTTTCTACGGACAGAATTACCGCAGCATGATAGAGGGCGCGCGGGGATTACTCACGCGTCAGAACCGGGCCGTCGCGTCCGTGGCTCGGGGGGTTCGTCCGTCACCACAGCAGCAGCAGCGGTTTTGCGGTCACTTGCGTTTGCTACGCTCCTCCCCCCCATCGGTTGGGACGCGGGGGGTCCCTGTGTGGCGGCGGGTGACAGCGACAGGAGCAGCTCGGTTCTCGTCGAGGGATGCTGGCGCTGGCGCTGGTGCTGGCGCTGGGGTGCGGATTGCGCAGGGGGAGGATGCCGAGCTTGTGCGGGCGGGATTGGAAGGGTTGGTAGGGCGGGGGTGGGAGGTGGATGCGGCGGGGATGGGGATTCAGAAGACGTTTCATTTCCGGACGTATTTCAAGGCTGTGGTGGGTTCTTTTTTTTTCCCCTTGTTTATTTGGATCTATGGGGTTGGGGGTGGAAGTTTGACTGGGTTGATTTTTGGGTAGAGTTTTGTCAATGTGGTTGCGTCGCAGAGCGCGGTGAAGAAACATCATCCGACCATGACCGTGGTAAGTAATTTTTTCCTTTTGCTTTTGCTTTTGCTTTTGCTTTTGCTTTTTGGATGGGGAGAAATGCTGATCTGAGGGTGCCATGGGTACCGAAAACCAAAAAAGAGGATTGGGAGTGTGGATGTACACTGGACGACGCATCATCCGCAGGGCCTCTCGCAGAAGGATATCGCGATGGCGCAGCACTGCGAGGAGGGCGCCGAGTTGATGGGGTCGGTGCAGGAGACGCAGGGGAAGAAGTGTGCGCCGCCGCCGACGGCATCGCTGGGGGCGCCGTCAAAGGGTCAATCAGAGTCATAATCACCAGTCGTGACGATGGTGTGTGTCTGCGTGTACCCTGCATGTGCTGCAGGTGGGATTTGTACGATATGACGATGGACAATTGGATTGTGGTTGGTTTACGTGTTGTGCATCATGCAGATACTCTCTGTAGGGAGCTATATCTATGAACCTAGCCTTATAGCTCCGTATCCCCATACGGATAGATACTACTACCTTAGTAGTCTACTACTACTCGATACAGGTAAACCAGTTGACGACATGGTTGAAGAGACAGAACTGGGCACTGGCACTGGCACTGGACAATCAAGGCCACCAGTTGGGTTTTCCACCTCGTGCCGACGCCGATCCATTGACGTTGATCCTCGCGTCTTCCGCCTTGACTGGCGCACTTGCACTGCAAGCTGCAACTCCGTCACTGAGATAGTA